TCTTGTTCCTGATCTTAAAGGCTTTCTCATTTTCTTGACAGTGTCTTTCACAGAGCAAGAAGTTTTTAATTTTAATGAAGTCCAGCCATCAGTTATTTTTTTTTTCAGTCATGCCTGGAAGTTAATTGTAGTTTTGGAGGTTTTGATTACCTAAACCTTTTTTCATTTCAATAGAATTAGGTTTCTGTTACTTGATGTATTTCCTTAAAATGGACTGTGGGCATGACAGGCAATAAATAATTCACATCTTTACTACTGTTAATATAACTTGGAGAATTTATGTATTTTTCTCTTCAAAAGGACTTTTTTGGAAACACTTTTGTAACTGGATTTACAAAATTCATTTGGAGTTATGCCAAGACTTCCCCATTTTGTAGTTTTTATTTTACTGCATTTCTTGGTGAGTTAAAATACTTTTTTTAAAAAGGAGAAGAAGAAGATGAAGCAGTATTTCCCAACTCAAGAATTCTCAGAAATGCAATCCTGTTGCCCTTCACAAGATTAGATATTGTATATCTATATCCACCAAAAGCAACTTGGATATAGGCACACAGTAACCGAGTCACAGCTCTCTTTTCCTGTCATAACCACAGACATTGCTCCTTTGTCTCCTGGCATTTAGTTCTTCAGAGAAGTCTCAGGCCAGACTAACTTTTGTTCCTGCCTAGGTAACCTTTTAATTCTGCCTAGATGTATCCTCTCACTCACAGATCTTGTCAGGATGAATCGAATTCCGTTCACTTCTAACATTTTACCTGGGATACTGTATGCCTTTCCAGCTGCTAACTCAAGTGGATGTATGCCCGGAGCAGCTTTCACCTAGCACAGGTGTGTCAACTGTGGGGGTCACTTCCACAGGGCCCATTCTTGTCTTTGAGAGCAGTGTTTTCTCACCTGACATCTCTGTTCTCTTCTTCCCTTCCCCTGTTTTAAAGCTGGTCCTTTTTTCTAACCCTGTGGTCCTTTCCCTCTGAAACTGAGAGTTTTCTCCAGCTGGTCTCCTGCATCCCTCATCTACTCTGTCCCAGTTTTAGTCCCGTTCTTTAGTGCTTCTGAAGCAGACTTCAGTTCTCTTTGTGTTTGAGTTGCCGAGCAATTCTCCCTCTTCTCCCCCTAATACATGCTGGTACCTTTCATCTCAGCACTTTTTTGTTGTTGTTGTTATTTTTTATATTGCGGTACATACAATAAAATGCATGAGCTTTTTCTTTCTTTAGTACTCTGCTCCTACTTCAAGGAGAATTCTAGTGAAAACTTTCCTGAAAATTCCATCCAAATCCTTTAATACATCCCTTTCAGTCTTCAGGATGATATACCCTTCCCTTGTTTTGAGAATCCCTATAATGTTTTTATATTATTAACATGATTCCATGCATACAGAATTGCAAATAATGTAATATAATGAATGCCTCTGGACCACCCCACACACATACTTCTTTTCTCCTTATTTATCCTAAACAGCAGCACCCTCTCTCAGACTCAGCATTACTGAGCTAGAAGACAGTGATGTGGCTGGCTCTCGACTCCACCGTCTGTCATCAGGACCATGGCTGAATCCCCTCTCCAGGTCTACACTGGGAAAGCTGGCTATTAGGGACGTGGTGGTTCAACACGGCCTCTGGTGACGCAGCAGAACCTCTCTTCACCTGCCTTGCCTGAGACCCAGATTGTCCGCCTCTGCTCCCCAGTCCTTGGGCTTCTGCCTCCTGCAGTTTCCAAATAATTGCCGTCTACACAATTCTCTTTCTGTGACTTCTGCTTATTTACGGTTTCAGCTGCCCTGTGGCTTTTGCTCAAACCCTTCTTCCGCACTTCTCTGAAGTTCCCTCTGATACTCTCTCAGGCTGTTTCCCTTACAGTCAGGCTTCCCAAGGTTGAAGATCCAGTTTGTGACAAGTCGGCATTCTGTCAGGGCACCACAGCTGGGTAGAGCTCTCACGTCAAGCTACTTCTCATGTCTCTGGCTACATGTGTGCCTTTGGGTCAGCTCCTCATTGCTGGATCAATCAGCCATGGCCCGGGTGATGGGGTCTGTGTTAGTCAGCTATAACAAAAAGCCTACAATGTAATTAGTTCAACCATTGTGGAAAGCAGTATGGAGGTTGATCAAAAAACTAAAAATAGAAATACCATTTGACTCAGGAATTCCACTCCTAGAAATTTACCCTAAGAATGCAGCAGCCCAGTTTGAAAAAGACATATGCACCCCTATGTTTATCGCAGCACTATTTGCAATAGCCAAGAAATGGAAGCAACCTAAGTGTCCATCAGTAGATGAATGGATAAAAAAGATGTGGTACATATACACAATGAAATAATATTTAGCCATAAGAAAGAAACAAATCCTACCATTTGCAACAACATGGATGGAGCTAGAGGGTATTATGCTCAGTGAAATAAGCCAGGTGGAGAAAGACAAGCATCAAATGATTTCACTCATCTGTGGAGTATAAAAACAAAGAAAAAACTAAGGAACAAAACAGCAGCAAACTCACAGAACCCAAGAATGGACTAACAATTACCAAAGGGAAAGGGACTGGGGAAGATGGGTGGGAAGGGAGGGATAAGGGAGAAAAGGGGGCATTATGATTAACACACATAATGTAATGGGGAGGAGGATACGGGGAAGGCAGTATAACACAGAGAAGACAAGTAATGAGTCAATAGCATCTTACTACGCTGATGGACAGTGACTGTAATGGGGTATGTGGTGGGGAGTTGATAATAGGTGGCGTCTAGTAACCATAATGTTTCTCATGTAATTGTACATTAATAATACCACAAAAAAAAAGCCTACAATGTCTTAGTGACACCCAACTATAAGCATTTATTTCCCTCATACACATATGGGCTGGTTGGAGGTCAGCTGATAGAGCCTGAGATCTGCTCTGGGCCTTTTCCTTGTGTCCTACACCTTCCCTTACCACTGGACTCGCTTGGGCATGTAGTTCTCATGGCAATGTTAGGGCACAAGTATCAAGTAGCAACACAGAGTGCCTCTTAAGTCCCAGGCTCAGAGCTGGGATATTGTCAATTCTGTCTGCATTCCACTGTGCCCATATGGTGGGACATATAGTCTACCTCTAGTGGGACGGACTACAAAATGTCATAGCAAAGAGCATGAAGGACTGCAGAACTGGAGCAAGCAGTTCGCTTTTTACCTTCGGATCACATGGTCATATGGCCATAAGCTATAGAGCAAAGCATGGAAAATCCTCTGCACAGCACCCCTCCAAGGGGGCTGTAGGGATGTCAGCCAGACTGGGGCTTCCCAGAAGGGTGACAAATTAAAGGATGGCTTTACAACACTTGCAAAGCAACCACAGCCAGGACTTAAAATATGCCTTCTATGTCAAAATTCATCAAGCTGTACACTAAGATTTGTGCATTTTATTGTATGTACCTCAACATAAAAAATAATAATAAAATAAAAATGAAAATGGAAAAATCAAAATTGAAATATGCCTTCCAAAACACAGGAGGATGTAAAAAGTTTAAGGAACAGAGACTCGGGAAACAACATGGAAATCTTTTTAAAGCGTTAAACAATACAACAAAGGCAAAACCAAATATCAGTTATCACAATAACTCTATGAGTCAGAGGCAGGCAGTTGGGAGAGGTTCAAAGTACTTTTCTTTTTCCAGTTCTCCTCTGATTCAAGAGGTAAATTCTCCATAGATTTTTCCCAGTCCAGCTCCTGTCTTATAAATAATAAGAATCCCTCCCAGATGCTGGCATTCATTTTGAGTGGTAAGTTTTCTCTACTTTCCATGTCTCTGTAGTAGTTTGAGTGGGCTCCTGGGTCAAGGCCACTATATCAGAGGCCACTCTCTGTGTGACATTCTTATCACATGCCCGCTGGAGTCCTGCCACCCCATCTCTTCCATGGTACTATCACATCCTACTTGGGCCTTTGCTCTCCTTTTTTGGCCCCAAGACCCATATCTGGGAATCAGGCGTGCAACTGTGAATCTCCAGTCTTCAGCACAAGGCCCTGTCCTTAGCAGGGGCTTAATGAATTAATCTCTGCATCAAAAAAGACTCTGTTACATTTGACAGGACCACAGCTCAAAGTGGTTCACCAAATCCAAACCTTCTGAGGAATGTTGGGTTTCAGGAATAGCTGGATCTGTTGAGTTCAAATGATACTATCAAGACTTAGGGTCTCTTCATCTCTTGATTGGTCTTTCCCCTGGATTGATGTCACTCTCCAGCAGGCTGGCCCACCCTCGTGGTCACCAAGATACCACCAGCAACTTCAGCATCCCCCCAAACCCAGAACTTCTTTGGTTTCATATCGCCAGCACCAAAAACCAGATATTAATTCTCATGCTTGGATCATGTGACCATGGCTAACTCAAACACTGAGGTGGGGGGATAGAATGTTCTAATCAATCAGGCCTCAGTCACGAGCCCACCTGCAAGCCAGGTGGTGGCCTCAACAGGAGGAGGGGTCAATGAACAAACAATGACAAGAAGCAATGAAGGACAGCAAGTGTCCATTATCATCTTCCATAGTTCCTTTCCAGGAGGAGCCCTCCCTTGGGGACTAACAGAAGTGACCAGGCCACCATACATCTGTTTAGTGCACCCTAGTTTACAAAATACTTCTCACACTATCTCATGTAGCCTCACAACCAGCCCACGAGCCAAGTGGTATCACTCTACGCTTTATGAAGATGAGACCACTGAGACTTACAGATGTCAGACATTGGCTAAGTCACAAACAAGGTACAGAGCCAGCAGAGGGACTGTGGAGAGGTGCGTGCAGAAAGAGGAAGAACACACTGACCCCAGGAACTTCCTCTGTGTGTCAAGCTCCCCTCACCATAGCCTCCCCTTCACCTCACCGGCAGCAGCCCGCCCACACCCTCCTCCTGGCCTGCATCTGTTGCCTGGCCCCCTTATCACCTGCTCCTGCAGACTTCTGCCACACCTCTTCCCTGACCTTTGCTCCTCGCTCCAGGCTTGTTTTCCTGTGGACCCGGGAACCCAGGGCTCACTTTCACTCACTGCCCAGCCTTCGCCATGTGCACTGGGAAGTGTGCCCATTTTGTGGGGCTCTCCCTCATTCCCCTCTCCCTGATCTGCATCATGGCTAACGCCCTCCTGCTGGTGCCTAATGGGAAGACCACCTGGACCAATGTGGAGCAGCTCAGCTTGCATGCCTGGCTCATGGCTGGCTTCATCGGTGGGGGCCTGATGGTGAGGAGGCTGGCAAGTGAGCACAGGCTGGGCGCCACTCTGCAGGGGTCTGAACCGGAGGGAGTGCGAGAGGGGGAAAAGGACTGCTGCCTGGGAAGGGATGGCGGTGGCTGCCAGAATCCTGGAGCCCTCCCAATCTGCCCCAACACTAGCACTCTGTAGAGGTCCTAGAGGAGCCCCAGGGTGCTGAGCTGAATATCTGAGGGGAGCAAGAAGGAGCGAGTCTCACTGCTCTAAGCAGCTTCCCTTCTGGTTAAGGCGTTATGCCCTCTCTGCCCCTCCCACCCCCACTTGGAGCAGATGCTGAGAACACCTCACTACAAGGGTCCAGGGAGAAAGGAGTAGCTGGTTGTGTGGGAGGTAATCAGGGCAAGATAATAATAGGCAGGGGGTGGGGGGATGCAGTGACAATGTCCGGGGCCAGGCAGCAGTATCAGGGATCATTCTACCTATCAGTTCAGTGTCACCCTCCCCTGCCTCCATGTAGAGTCACTCTCCACCCACATTTCCAGATGCCCACTCTGCACTGGATAGACTCAGAACCTAGGTCAGTAAGGTGGAGAAAGTGCCCCACATCCTCCTGGTGACTAGATTCTGTCAGAAGAAGTAGCGACTTCCTGGACTTTCTAACCCCTGTCCTCTATCCCCATCCCCATTTAAGGGAACTTTTGGAAGGTCAGATAGTTTAACATCTTCATGGGATGAAACAAAAGATCTACCAAGCTCAGTTCCCTACTTCTCAGGCTGGCTGACCAGTGAAATTCCCCAGGAGAGGTCTCACTTTCTTCTTTTGCTCTGTGAGCTAAATGGGGATACCTCTTCTCCTTTATCCAACAATCCCCTTTCCCTCCATAGTCTTTTATTCCACTCCCCCTCCCGCATGGATCATGGCTGCTGGACTCTACGCCATCCCTCTGCCCTCAACTCTAAGAGGTCACACTCCTCCCAGGCCTTCACACTCACCTGGTGTCACACTGCACCCCTTCTTCAGCCTAAACCACCCCCGTCCCCACAATCTCCCCAGCCTGCCTCAGGGGAGATCCCCAACAATGCCCTCCCAACATGCTCATTCCCAGCCGTCTTCTTCCCACCTTCAAGCCCTGAGCCACTCTCAAGAAGCCTTTCTCAAACATGCTAAAGCACAGGGCCACAGGCAAGGTCCCTGCTCTCCCTGAAGCTGGCATTCCTGCTGGGGAGATGCACAGTATCAAAAGGAAGAACTTAAACCCCATGAGAACAAGGATTGCCTGCTTTTTTGGCTGCTGTATGCCAAGTGCCTAGACCAATGCTTTGCATTTAACAGACACCTGATCAACAGTGAGTGAATAAAGTAAGCAAGATGATTTCAGATAGGAGTAGGTACCATCTAGAAAACTAAGCAGTGTGTGGTCACAAAAAACTCTGAGGGCAAGGGAGGAAGCTATTTTTTATTGCATTTTCAAGGAAGGCTGTCAGAACTGACACCCAGAGACAAAAAGGAGGTTTCAGCATTGCAAACAAGTTCTAAGGCAGGAACAGGCTTGAACATCTGAGGATTAGACAGGCAGAAGGTGCAGCTGAGGTTCCATGAGATAAGATTGGAAGTGGGCAGAGGCCAGAGCATGTACATCTATGAAAGCCACAGTGAGGAACCTGAATTTTATTATAAGTACAAGAGAAAACTATTGACTCTTTACCTTTTTTTTTTACTTTTACTGAAGTCATATTGACAAGTGCCCAGATGCTCTGTGTACAGCTCAATGAATTTTTGCAAAGTGAACACATGAACACACTCATGTACCCTGCGTCCAAATCAAGATACAGGTCAGTAGCAGAATCCCAGACATCCTGCCACAACAGGCACTACCTACCCCCCACAGACAAGGGACCCCACTACCTGACTTCTAATCCCATAGGTTAGTTTTGCCTGGTTAGCACTTTATATACACAGAACCATATAGTATGGATACTTCTGTGTCCGGTTTCTTTAGCTCAACCTATGTTTGTGATTCATCCATATCATTAGGTGGGGTGGTAGTTTATTATTTCTTATGCATTCCATTGTGTGAATATAGCACAATTTATTTAAACATTTCACTGTTGATGGAGATTTGGAGAGTTCCCAACTTGGGCTTTTTACAAATAATGCTGCTATAAACATTCCCACAAATGTCTTAAGGTGAAATATATATTTGCATTTCTGTTAGATACATACCTAGGAGTAAAGCTGCTGGTTTTTTGTGTGTTTTTTTTGGTATCGTTAATGTACAATTACATGAGCAACATTATGGTTACTAGACTCTGCCCCTCCCCCCCCATTATCAAGTCCCCACCCCATATGCCATTACAGTCACTGTCTATCAGCATAGTAAGATGCTATAGAATCACTACTTGTCTTCTCTGTGTTATACTGCCTTCCCTGTGCCCCCCCACGTTATGTGTGCTAATTGTAATGCCCCTTCTTCCCCCTTATCTCCCTCCCTGCCCACCCATACTCCCCAGTCCCTTTCCCTTTGGTAATTGTTAGTCCATTCTTGGGTTCTGTGAGTCTGCTGCTGTTTTGTTCCTTCAGTTTTTTCTTTGTTCTTATACTCCACAGATGACTGAAATCATTTGATGCTTGTCTTTCTCCACCTGGCTTATTTCACTGAGCATAATACCCTCTAGCTCCATCCATGTTGTTGCAAATGGTAGGATTTGTTTTCTTCTTATGGCTGAATAATATTCCATCGTGTACATGTACCACATCTTCTTTATCCATTCATCTACTGATGGACACTTAGGTTGTTTCCATTTCTTGGCTATTGTAAATAGTGCTGTGATAAACATAGGGGTGCATATGTCTTTTTCAAACTGAGCTGCTGCATTCTTAGGGTAAATTCCTAGGAGTGGAATTCCTGAGTCAAATGGTATTTCTATTTTTAGTTTTTTGATCAACCTCCATACTGCTTTCCACAAAGGCTGAACTAGTTTACCTTCCCACCAGCAGTGTAGGAGGGTTCCCCTTTCTCCACATCCTCGCCAACATTTGTTGTTGTTTGTCTTTTGGACGTTGGCCATCCTAACTGGTATGAGGTGATATCTCATTGTGGTTTGAATTTGCATTTCTCTGATGATTAGCAATGTGGAGCATCTTTTCATGTGCCTGTTGGCCATCTTAATTTCTTCTTTGAAGAAGTGCCTGTTCAGATACTGTGCCCATTTTTCAACTGGATTATTTGCTTTTTGTTTGTTGAGGTGTGTGAACTCTTCATGTATTGTGGATGTCAACCCCTTATCGGATCTGTCATTTATGAATATATTCTCCCATACTGTAGGATGTCTTTTTGTTCTACTGATGGTGTCTTTTGCTGTACAGAAGCTTTTCAGCTTGATATAGTCCCGCTTGTTCATTTTTGCTTTTGTTTCCCTTGCCCAGGGAGATATGTTCATGAAGAAGTTGCTCATGTTTATGTCCAAGAGATTTTTGCCTATGTTTTTTTCTAAGAGTTTTATGGTTTCATGACTTACATTCAGGTTTTTGATCCATTTTAAATTTACTTTTGTGTATGGGGTTAGACAATGATCCAGTTTCATTCTCTTACATGTAGCTGTCCAGTTTTGCCAACACCAGCTGTTGAAGAGGCTGTCATTTCCCCATTGTATATCCATGGCTCCTTTATTGTATACTAATTGACCATATATGCTTGTGTTAATATCTGGGCTCTATTCTGTTCCACTGGTCTATGAGTCTGTTCTTGTGCCAATACCAAACTGTCTTGATTACTGTGGCTTTGTAGTAGAGCTTGAAGTTGGGAAGCGAGATCCCCCATGTAAAGCTGCTGATTCTTAAAGTAAGCAAATATTCAGTGCCAACAGATATTGCCAAATGGCTTTCTGAAGTTCCTACACCAATTGCATTCCAATCAGTAAAAAATGAGCATTTTCATATCCTGTTGAATTTAAGAAGATCTCCTGGCTGTGGTGTAAAGAATGAAGAGTAAGAGGCCAGTAGGCAGATGCAGAAGGACCATACTAAGGTCACTGCAGTTGTCCAGGATAAATGATAGTAGCTTGGACTAGGCCAGAGGCCAGAGATGGAAAAGTAACCAGATTTGCATTCTATAAACCCAGTGTTTCTTTCTGCATTTATGATTACCCTTCTCTTTTCATTAAGACAAGTAGAGGACACAGAGCAAGACAGAGGTCAGGCAGCAAAGGGAAAGAAACACTGACTCAAAAAGTAAGCATTTCAGACAGGTAGGCCATCCAGAATTGGAAAATCCAAATGGCAATTCTAGCTGCCCTTGGATCCAGATGCTTCCCAGTAAGTGACCTAACCAGAGAGGCTAAGCAAAGTGGTCTAGACCTGGCCCCTACACCTGCCATGAGACATGGAAGAAGAAAGAAAAAGGATTGTGGGAAAAGTCCATTCAACTGTGTAGGTGTTTGCATGACATTGCTCTGGATGATATAACCCAACTAAAACTCTCAACCCCTCCCCTAAGAGAACAAAACGCTGCCTGGTGCAGTATTGACAGAAGCACACAGGGAGGCAAAGATCAAGACAGCTGTGGAATTTCAGAGAGGGGAGTCAGGCAAAGAACCTGGCCTGGTGCAGCAAAGACAAGGCTGGAGCCAAAGCAAGGAGCCTGGAGCACCTTTCTAGAGTTCAGTCTTGATGTACTACTCTCTGCGGAGACCCTAAAGGGCTTGAGAAGAGAAAAGACCAGTTGAAACCTAAATTTAACCTGGTGGTAGCAGTGTAGGATGGAGGGTGGGGTGGCACGGGGCAAGAGACACGGGACTCTAGTAGGGAGGCTGAGAACATTATCCTCCTGGGAGGTTTAGATTAGGGATTAACTGTGCAGGTAAAAGGACTAACAGATTCAAGAGCCATTAAGGGAAAAGTCTAGGAAACTGGAGGTCTGGCTGGGTGTGGAGGATTCAAGTTTTCCAGCCTGGCTGACCAGGAGGGTATTTCCACTAATGGAGTCAGAAAGATAAAGGGAGATGACAATATGGGGAACCAATTGTGAGGTCAGTATGAGGCTGGCTGAATCTGAGCTAAAACCAAGATATTAAAATGAACATATCCTTCAGCAGTTAGATTTGAATCTGGAGGCATCAATTTAGGAGTTGACTTTTGTTGGAGGGAATGCTCTGGGAGGGGATGAGCTCTGTGAGGAAGGCCCACATGGAGATGGACACAAAGGAGCAGGGCGGAATCTTGGGGATCCATACACTTCCCATCAGAGCATTGCCTGCTCCCTCCACCAGAATCCCAGCTCACCAGACACTCCAACACCACTCTCCTGCAGCTGAGGGAATTTACAGTTACTGAGCATTTACTCTGAGCCAGTCTTGACATCAAGTCAACCCATTATTTCATTAAATCCTGAGAACAGCCTTGTGAGGTAGGTCTTGCAGACCCATTTTGCAGAGGAGAAGACTGAGACCCAGAAAGATGAATCAATTCATGGGGACCCAGGCCTCCTGACTCCCATTCCATTGGGCACCTGTTATGTGCCAAGAATGATGGGGGATATAGATACTGGGCCCTACCCTCTGGAGGCCACAATCTGGACAGAGATAAACAGGCACATAAATAATGATCAATTAAGATAAAACCTGACAGTGCTCCAGAAGAAGCAGAAATAAGGTCTTCCTAAAGTTTAAAGGGCTGAGGGGGCATCACCGGCAGCTTGCAGGTAGCAGTAAACACTGAAGCAAGTAAGGTCAGGGGGATGTGGGGGCACTCGCTATCTCACGGACTCCCCTCCCTTAGGTACTGTGTCCGGGAATTGCAGCCCTTCGGGCAGGGGGCAAAGGCTGCTGCGGCGCAGGCTGCTGTGGAAATCGCTGCCGGGTAAGACCCACGTTAAGATGGGGTTCCTATTGATATGAGATTAAGATAAAATTCAGGATGAATCTTTGAATCCCGGCTCAGTCTACGGAATTCCTAGTTACGGGCGCTCCGCTGCAGAGTCCCATGCTCCACTTACCCCCTCCCTCGAACTGCACTGCAAAGTTCAGGCCTCAGTGGGCGGGATCGGCGGAGACGCCAACCCCCATGAACTTCCGCGGCCTCTAGCTCTTAGGGCTAGCAGAACGCCAAGCCCCGGGGTTTGACGGTAAATGTGTTTTAAACGCGACTCAAGGAGTGCGGGAACTTCGCGGGGAGGAGGGTGCTGGGCGCTCTCGGCCCACGAGTGGGGATGGGGCGGCCCTACTCACCTTTCTTTCCACTCGGCATCCAGATGCTGCGCTCGGTCTTCTCCTCGGCGTTCGGCGTGCTTGGGGCCCTCTACTGCCTCTCGGTATCAGGATCTGGGCTCCGAACTGGACCCAGATGTTTAATAAACACTGGCTGGACTTACCCCTTCAAAGAAACTGCGTAAGGCTTAGCCCATATTCGTTGCCCCCACCCCCACCCCTGTACCCCGTACTCTGTACTCTGCCTCTCCCCACCTGCCTTTCACTTGTGGATCTGGAAACCTGGGCGGGGCTCGCCTTCGAGACACCTTCCTCCACGTGGGCCAAAAAAAACCCTTTTGCAAATCACCTACGGCGCGTAGAGGGGCGCTGGGGACGTGCGGGGCATTTCGCGTAACCTCTTTCTCTCGCGCGACCCTGCCCCTCCCACAGAGGCTCTTACTTGCTCAACCGAACTGAGTGGAGTTTGTGCGTGGAGCCGCCGGGTGTGGTCTGCTGGAACGTGACGCTCTTCTCGCTACTGGTAGCCGCTTCTTGTCTGGAGCTCGTGCTTTGCGGGGTGCAGCTGGTGAACGCGACAATTGGTGTCTTCTGCGGCGATTGCAGGAAGAAGGAGGTGGGACGGCGTGGGATGGAGCTGTAGCGGGAACCTACTTGCTCCCTGGCTGTATCCTCACGTTCTTGTTTCCGCAGGGCGCCGTTCACTGAGGCTCCACTGACCGCACTGCCCGCGCCTGGACACCGTCCTGACCCGCCCCCGCTCCCGCCCGGGAATAAACTGTTTTGAGGTCTCCTGCGCGTCTCGGACTGTGCTCTGTGCTCGAGGGCCTGAAGGCCTCCAGATACACCCGGACTTAGGGCTTTCCTGTTTGGGGCCCCTGAACCCGGATTGCTATTGTCTTAACAAATAGTTATTGACTTACTAGTGTGCTCTGTAAATACAGTGGTAAACAAGATGTAAATTCCATGCTCTCACAGAATTTAATATTCCAGGGGTGGAACATAGGTAATTTTTAAAAGAGGCAATAGATTATTTCAACTTGCCATAAGCACTTTTTAAAAACACGCCGGCACGGGATAGATATTGACTGATGGAGGGATTTTATAAAGTAAAAAAAGTCTCAGTGAAATTGGAGCTGATATCTGGTGGATGGGCTAACCTTCTAGATAACGGGGGATCTAAACAAAGGACAAAGGAGCCTAAAGGACAAGGACAAAGATCCTAAATGGGAATCTGTATACAAAAAAGCCAGTGAGTTTTGTTGGGGGAAAGAAAAAGAAACTATTGAAAAGACACATTCGCCTCTTATAGAATATGAAGACTTAATGCATCTTAGCATTGTCACCAAATGCGGTAGAAGTTTTCTTAATCTGAGGTCACCGGTGGTTCAGAAAGGAAACAACGTGTGCTATATTGGTGCGATGTGTCTACAGACACCCTCAGAAAGCCAGCGATGTCCTTAACTTATGTGCAAAATTGTGTTTCAGTGCTTTTTCCTGGACTGTGGGTCTGTAGCCTGCCATGGAACCTTTGAGACCAAGCCCTAACTTGGACCTGACCCAATTCTAGGTTGGGAGGAAGACAGGGAGATGCAGTATTTCACCCCTAAAACAAGCGAGACCAAAGCCAAGACAGAGAAGCTTTAATAGCAGGAGGACGGGAAATACCCTCTGGACCGGGGAGAGGGCCGTGGCAGCGTTAACGTTAACTGCGGCAGCAGAAAAAGCGCACGTCGTTAAGCGCGGTGTCATCGCGGAGGCCCCTAGGCCGCTCGATCTTGGTCTGCAAGCCGCACATGCCTTTAGGGCACGGCTCACTCCAGTCTCCAAAATCTCCCCAGGCCAGGCCAGGCCCCTCCAGCTCCGTGCTGTCTGAGCAGCGGAAGAGCACGTTGTTCGCAGCCGTGTTGTCCCCAGGCGTCGTGGGTACCTCCACGCGAAGTGAGAAAGCCACGAGGAAGCCGCCGCCGGGACACCACTGCGGCTCACTCCATGCACCCCACCTTCGAGTTAAGAGACGTGTTGGTTCTGCTGATGCCCTCTACCCACCTCCAGCCCGTCTCAGCCTGAGGGCCTTCCCAGCCAGGTGCTGCAATGACCCGGATGGGTTCAGTCTAGTCTTCCACCTATTCCCCAGGTCTAAGCTGCACCCCAGCTCTGGAGGAATGTGCCTGCCGGGAGGGTGTGTGTGAAACAGAGAGGGGGCGTACTGCCAGCCTAAGGGATCCTTAGCCCGTGCTCCTCACCTTCCAGACTGGGACTCCACCACGTGCGTGTTGCGCTCTGCGTTCCCGCGTGCGCAGTGCAGCCGGATCCCGTTCAGAGCGGTGTCGTCTCCAGGAATGCCTTGGGGGGGCTCCAGCTGGGCGTCAAGGAGATGAGGGATGAGGATGAGTCAAAAGACTGCTTCCCTCTACTCTAGGGTCCCACTCAGTGGCCTATAGTGAACGTTCAGTCCCTCTGACCCCTCTGATACTTAGGCCTGGGCCCCCACCTTGATGGAGAACCCGCTGGCGAAGAATCCATCAGGACACATCTCGGGCCAGGCCCAGTCGCCCCAAGGGCCCCCGTTGGTCACCTCGATGACCGATTTATAGCCGCTCGGGCCATTTGCTAGGGCACGTCGGCAGCACGTCGCCCACAGCAGAAACAGCAACTTGTCTCCTGCGCCCTGCTTCATCTCGCAGCTTCTGTGAGCCTGGGGCTCCTCCCGCACGTTTATACCACCTTGGCCCCTAGGAGGGCTCCAATTACGGAAGAGTCGCCCAGATTAAGTGACACCCGAAACTAATCCGCGCCCGGAACCCTGCAGCCTTGATTCTCTCTGCTCGGCGAGACAGAGGCTCGCAGCGCCAGAAGAGGGGCAGCCAGAGCCAAGGAGCTGAAATAACCATCTCTTTACTGAACGTTCACTATAGGCCACTGAATTGTGGTTAGCGTTTTGCAGGTGTGCTTTATTTAATCCTCACAGCTATTTTAGGAGATGGGAATTACCCCAAAATCACAGTCAGCAAGCTGGGAAACATTCCCACACTGGGAAATGGGGAGCCTAAGTCTGGAGATGAAAGTGATAGCTCTGGAATCCCACCGGACAGGATTGGTCGTGAGCAAACCCGGGGACCTCCAGGATGTGAGGGAGCATCAGAGAAAGAGGGCAAATCCATAAACTGTGGGTACTAGTAAGGGTCTTCTTAGTGATTGGGACTGTGACTCCTTGAGAACCTGGGATACCCCTCCACCCCAGAAGAAAATATACATAGAGACACAGGATCAATTCTAAGTTTGTGAACAGGGTACTGAGAACCGGAGATGTTGCAGCTTGCATTGCTTCTCACTTCCCCTGAATGTTTTTCCCTCTATGACCACCAGGTGGACTCCTAATTTGCAAAAAGAAAACTGGCTCAAATTTGTCACAGGGGGCACTGCCTCCGATTTTGTCTGCCCTTCACAAGTATTTGTTTATTCAATACATAATTTTTTAACAATAACGTATTTTGGCCCAAGCAATAGTCTAAGTGCTGTAAGTAGAGCAGCAACCAAGAAAAATAAGGCCCCCGTCTTCATCAAAGTTCACATTTCAGTAGGGGAGACAGATGATATTTGCCAATGGACCTTGAGCTCTTGTGAAGGCACTTTTGACGCCCAGTACAAGGTCTAGCATGCAGAAGTAAATAAAGACTGGTCTGACAAATAACTGAGGAGCCAATCTGGAGTTTAAAAAACTAAAGCACAAAAATGTAAAAGATAAAGCCTAAAGTATATAACCAAGAGGTCATGCATGCAGATCAAGACAAAGTCCCCTGCACATAGGATAGAGAATTTAGATGTGGGTGTTCCCTGGATCAGGTGCCCCATGCTTGAACTTAATAGGTAAGATTAATGGAGCAATTGTGGTAAGCTTTTCCATTTACAGTGTTTGCATATACATTATCATTTAATCCTCACATGAGGTTTTCCACGTGTCTCTTATCCTCAATTTATAGTGTAGGGAACTCAAGCTCAGAGTTAATTTAGGGCCACACCATTGCCCAGTGAGGAAACTGGTTCTGACCTCCAACTCTTCTCAATACCCAGGCTTCCTCTTACTACAACCTGGGCCCTTCAGAGAAGAGAAATGTAGAAATGTGTCATTGCTACCAAATCCCTCAAATACCCTTCATCAGGCCCCTCACCTCTGGGATGCTGCCCTCTGGGGCAAAGGGCACAGGGGAAGGGGCCTTATAGGTTAATCATTAATCCTTTGCACCTCAGGGCACCACGGGCTTCTCTCCCCTCCTGGAGGCGGAAGGACAGGACTGGCTGGGGGCCGGTGAGGGGCTGGTGGTCCCAGTAGCAGCCATGGGGGTCTTGCCACCTCCCCAGGTGCTGAGGCCCTGGTTCCGCCATGCAATTCCTTTCATTATCTTCGTGCTGCTGCTGCTTTATCTCTGTGCTCGGAGCCTTGGTGGGTGGCCCCTTCCCTCACCTGCTCTGGGAGAAACCCAGGAGGCCAGGCCCTCGGGACCTAAGCTCTCTCCTCAAGCCCTCACCACTGCCTCGCCTCTCCGCAGGCGCCCTCTCCGGCTGCCAATATGGGTCACAGTCCTGCACTCCCGAGGGACCGCCGCTTTTCCAGGTACAAACTTGGGACAGGGCTGGGACTGGGAGCTCCAGGTGGGACAGGGAAGTGGAACCAAGCTGAGGATCTGGTGAAAGAAGGGTCGTCCTTGTCTCCCTTCTCCCGCCAGAAGCTGAAAGTACAGCAGGAGGGACACCAGCTAGACCTTAGGAATTTCTTCAGAGCCTGGCTGGGCTACTTGGCGAAGGCGACCCAGCAGGCTAGGGGTTCTGCTCCCATTCTCTTCCCCTCATATCTGCCCTCCAGGTCCGGAAACAGTCGGGACCCCTGAAGGCTCTGGAGCTGGAAAAGCCTCAGTGTCTGGGCCCCCAGGGTTTGCTGGGCCGCATGATGAGGTCGTTCAGTGACAGTATGAACCCCGAAGGGGATGTGGAGTTGTCGCAGTACCTGGCAGGATGGAGGGAGCTAGTCAAGTGAGTGGTCTCCCACCCCCAATCCAGTCCCCACCTCTTTGTGGGGCTCCAACGCCCTCTCAAACCTTCCCACTCTTCCCACCACAAAACACACAGGTTCCTAACTCCCTTCGGCTCCATCTTCGCCTTCGCGACAAGCGAGGCCTTCACCAAAGTGACAGCCCTCGAGGCTCGTGTGCGCGGCCCGGATGCGGCGCACTACAGGTCGCTGGCGGCCATGGTGGCGTGGGAGCGGCGGGCGGGACTGCTGGAGCGGCCCGGGATCGCCCCTGCAGACTCGGCCAGGTCGTCGGGCTCACGAACAATGCTCTTGCTGCACCGTGCGCTACGCTGGTCCCAGCTCTGCCTCCACAGGGTGGCCACCGGAATGCTCGGAGGCCCGGACGCCGGCGTGCAGTGCAGCGACGCTTATAGCACCGTCCTGGCCCCGTACCACCCCTGGCTCATCCGTCAGGCTGCCCGCCTCGCCTTCCTCGCCTTCCCCGGTCGCGGCCGATTGCTCGAGCTGGCATGTCCGGGAGCCAGGGAGGCAGAGGCGCGAGCCGCGCTGGCCCGGGCCGCGGACACGCTAGAGGATGTCTACAACCGTACCCAGAGCGTGTTGGCCGAGCGTGGCCTGCTCCAACTAGCTTGAGGCCAGCGGCCGCCGCGACCCGCGAGGACTGAAGCGCTCTGAGGCGGGATCAGTTCAGCCCAGGGGCGCCCCCTAGGAAGGGCCAGCCGCGGCTGGGGGCGGGGCAGCTCGCTACCCCGCCTCTTCGTACGTCATTGTCCTTGCATTCCCGCCCCCAGCGGGTGGGTTTTTGAGCCCCTCCCACTATCCGAAGACGGGGGAAGAAGGGAGGAGCCGTGGGGAAATAAAAAGTATTCTGTAAAAAAAAAAAAAAAAGTATTCTGTAGCCCTGGATTTAGGGCGTTCGTGTGATGACGGGAGGAGCTTAAAGGAAGTAGAAAAAAAATGGATGTGAGAAGATGTGTCATCCCTGTTCCCCGGCAGCCGAGAGACTCACGCTTCTCCTGGCCTATCTCAACCGCTCCTGGCTTCATTTGCCAATCAAATGCCAAGTCTCTAGCCCAGACCTGGCTCCTGAGCTTCAGCCCCCATAAAGCCAACTCTCCTGGACACCTCCACAGACACCACAAATATAACAGGTCCAACACTGATCCAATCACCTCTCCCGGAACTGCACCTCTGCTTATGTTCCCTGTCTTTGAATAAATAGCACTCTTTATTGTCAACTATCCAAGCCTTAAACCCGTGCAGCATGCCGCCTACCAAGCAGGTGTTCAGCTCAATAATACATGTTTATTGAATAACTTCTTTGGGTACTCCCACAACAATAGTGAACATGAAAGAGTTTGACCATGTCATACACTGATAACTCCCAAATTATAACGCCAACCCACTTTCCAACTGGACTCCAAAATCCTAGATATACACCTCCTTTATTCAACATCTCTTGGATTTCAGCAAGGCATAGCAAACATAATATGTCTAAAACTGAGTTTCTAATACCCTCTCCTCCCAAAGACTCCCTTCATAGTCTTTGCTACCTCAGTAAATGACAACTTCATTCTCCCAGGTCCTTAAGCCAAAAACCTTGTACTGTTCCTGACTCTTCTGTTTCTCTTTCATCATATACACACCTAATCTGTCAGAACCTGACCACTTCCCACTATCTCCACTACCACCCTTGTCAAGTCAACTTTACCCATCATCTGGAATATTGCAATAGTCTCTTAATTGTCTCTCCCACATTTGGCCTTCCTATAGCATATTTTCAATAGAGCAGCCAAAGTGATCCTTTAGAATGTAGATGATATCATGTCACTTCCTTGCTCAAAACTTTTTTTTTAAACTTAAGCAGGAAATTTTCTGGATCATATTTTCAATTGAGAATAATTAAAAGCTTTATAAAGGCCCTATGTGATCTGACTCTATACTAGCCAAATTTACTTCCTCAGTGTTCATTAAATATCTCAGTCATGATCCTACCTCAGGATCCTTGCACTTGCTCTTCCCTCTGTCCCAAATGTTTTTTTCCCAAATAGATGAATGACTTCTTTCTTTACCTCCTTCTTGTCTTTATTCAAATGTCTCCTCAGTGAGACCTTCCCTAATTATTCTTTCTATAAAATTTCAACACACACAATGACACCCTTCCCATCTCCCGTCCCTGCTTTGTTTTTCTTCTTACTATGATTCACTATCTAACATAATGTATATTGTATTTCTTTGTTGTCTTGTTGTTCCCCCCACCAATAGATGTAAGCTCCATGGGGATAGGAATTTCTGTTTTGTTCCCTGCTTGTACCTCCAGTGCTTCAAAACAGTACCTGGCACCTTGTAGACATTGAACAGGTTTTTGCTGAATGAAATGTATGAGCACTAAAAATAGTTCAGATGAGGGGAGCTAAGAATGTCAAAAACAGGAGGTTGCACAACAATGTAAATGTACTTAATGCTATTGCATTGCACACCAAAAATAGTTAAAATGCTAAATTTTATGTTATTTTTGTTATTACAGTAAAAATTTAAATAGTAAACAGATGTAGTTATGATCAGGTGGGCAGGAGTAAATTCATGAAGGGCCCTGTAAACTATGTTCAGATATAAGACTTTATCTCAAGAATTAATTTTAAGCAAAGGATTATCCAGATCATATTTGCAATTAAAAAATCAGCTTCAGCTGCATTATGTAGAAAAAGTATGGCAGATTCAGAGGAGGACTGCCCCACACAATAACAACAAAATAAACATTCTTCTCAAATGTATATGTGACATTCTCCATGATAGATCATATGTTATGCCATCGAAAAAGTCTAAATAAACTTTAAAAGGTTAAAATCACAAAATATTCTCCAACTAAAATGGAATGAAATTAGAAATCAATAACAGAAGGGAATTTGGGAAATGTACAAATATGTGGAAATTAAACAATACATTCCTAAACAACCAATGGGTCAAAGTGGAAATCTCAGGGAAAAGATTTTGAAATTAGTGGAAAGGAAAACAAAACATACCAAAACTTAAAGAGGCAGCATAAGCAGTGTTCAGAGGAAAAATTGTAGCTGTAGATGTCTATAGAAAAAATGAAGACAGATCCTAAATCAATAGCCCAACCTTCCACCTTAAACTAGAAAAAGGAGAGCAAACTAAACCTAAAGACAGTAGAAGGAAAGAAACAATAATCAGAGAGGACATAAATGAAATAGAAATTAGAATCAGTTAAACCAAAAATTGGCTCTTGGTAAAGATCAACAAAATTCACAAACTTTTTACTAGACTGACCAAGAAAAAATGAGAAAAAGACTCAAATTAACTAAAATCAAGAATGGAAGCAGGTACCTTACTATGAATCTTATAGAAATAAAAAGGATTCTAAGAGAATACTATACACAATTGTAGGCCAACAAATTAGATAACCTAAATGACACAGACAAATTCCTTAAAAAAAAAAAACTACCAAAAATGACTCAAGAGAAAATAGAAAAGATGGCTAGACCTATAACAAATAAAGAGATCAAGTTAGTAATAAAAAAAGAATCCCACAAAGGAAAGCACAGAACCAAATGTTTTCACTGATGAAATCTACCAAATATTTAAAGAAAAATTAATACCAATCCTCCACAAACTCTTACAGAAATAGAAGAGGGAACACTTCCCTACTCATTCTATGGGTCAGCATTAACCTATTACCAAATATATCACAAGAAGGGGAAAAAAAACACTACAGACTAATATATTGTATGACTAGAGATGCATAAAATCATCAACAAAATACTAGCAAGCCACATATGAAAAGGATTATACACCATGGTCAACTGATTTTCAACAAGAGCAGCCAAGACCATTCAAAAAGGAAAGAATACTCTTTTCAAAAAATGGTGCTGGAACAACTATATATCCACAGGAAAAAAAATGAATTGGGGACCCTACTTCATATCATATGCAAAAACAAACTCAAAATAGATCATAGACCTAAAAATATAAGAACTGAAACTATAAAACTCTAGGAAGAAAACAGAGGTGAATCTTTAGGCCTGGATTAGGCAACAGAGTCTTGGATATGACATCAAAAACAAAAGCAACCAAAGGAAAAGAAACCGTACTTTGTTAAAATTTAAACTTTTTGTGCTTCAAAAGACAGAAATGAAGGAGGTGAAAAGACAATCTATAGAATGGGAGAATATATTTGCAAATCATATATCTGACAAAGGTCTAGTATCTAGATTATAAAAAGAATTCTTACAACTCAACGGTAAAGACAGCTCAATTTAAAAATGGTCAAAGACTTGTTAAGACATTTTTCCAAAGAAAGTACACAAATAGTCATTTAGCACATAAAAATATGCTCAACATCACTAATCATTAGGAAAATGCAAAAAACCCAAGAGAGCAGTTCCCACCCACCAGGATTGCTAGAATAAAAAATTCACAATGACAATTAATGAGGATGTGGAGAAATTGGAATTTTCCATACATAGCTGGTAGGAATGTGAAATGGTACAGCTGCTGTGTAAAACAACTGCCAGTTCCTCAAAATGATGAACAAGTTACTGTATGACTCAGCAATTTCACTCCCACTATAGACTCCTAGGAATATACCTAAGGGAAATGAAACTAAAGTGTGGGTCATACTAAGTCAGAGACTCTCGAGTCTATCTTGAAGTCTCTTTGAACTGCAACTGGGTTCAACTACATTATTCTTGCGCAGTCCGATAAGAACCACAGTCCTTGAAAACTGATTTTGAGTTTTGTGTTCGCAGGCCACGTTGCCATCAAGCGCTCACTGTCGCAAAAGAACCTTCCCCACATTATTTCCTCTCCCTTCTGCCGTCATCCGCGGCATAGCTTCACCGCCAGAAGGCCTCAGAGCACGACTAGAGAGAGTGACAGATGCTTTACGACAGTTGCTTCGCGGCAGCACTAGAGGAGGAAGATGGCGGCCACCTTAGTAGCTGCTCGGGGAGTAGGACCACCACTAGCCTGGGGGCCGGAGGCCATAACCCCCGACTGGGAAAACCGAGAAGTCTCCACAGGGGTGAGGAGGGACTCGGGGTTCAGGAGATGTGTACATGCGTGTTGCGATGGAAGGATAAAGCCTGAGAGGGTTGGGAGAATTGTGGGGGGAGGAGGGGGGTAGGCTGTGATGTGCTCAGGGCAGGGGAAGACGTGTCCTGAGGATGCTGGAGGGTGTGGTCTTTAGGGGTGGGAGGGGGAAGGTAGGCTGAAGTGTGGAATTCTGGAGTCTCTCGGGACGAGAGTTTATGGCTAGGATGGGCCTTTGGGGGTTGAGGATTGCAATTCTGGTGTTGTGCGGGGTGTTGAGGCCCCTGTGAGATTTGATTATGGGTCAGTGGTGCATGACTTTAGTACTCTAGAGATTGGGTAGAGGGATCATTGAGGTTTGTATGCCGGAGAATGTGGAGAGGCCCAGACTTAACGCTTTTTCCTTTTTCCCAGACCACTATCATGGCTGTACAGTTTGATGGGGGCGTGGTTCTGGGGGCTGACTCCAGAACAACCACTGGGTGAGCCCAGGGCAGATATATGTGAAAGGTCCTCCCATCTTTCCCTTCTTTCCTTCCCTTCTTTCCTTGCCTTGCTGAATGAAATGTATGAGCACTAAAAATAGTTCAGATGAGGGGAGCTAAGAATGTCAAAAACAGGAGGTTGCACAACAATGTAAATGTACTTAATGCTACTGCATTGCACACCAAAAATAGTTAAAATGCTAAATTTTATGTTATTTTTGTTATTACAGTAAAACTTTAAATAGTAAACAGATGTAGTTATGATCAGGTGGGCAGGAGTAAATTCATGAAGGGCCCTGTAAACTATGTGCTGGGTGAGCCCAGGGCAGATATATGTGAAAGGTCTTCCCATCTTTCCCTTCTTTCCCTGCCTGCCAGCCTGTCCTTACCCTCCACAGACAGCTGTGGGAAGGGAGGTTTCTCCCCTCCTTAGAGATAAGGATTTGTTCCAATTTCTGCTGCTACCCAGTTTCCCTCACCCTTTGGTGAAATTCTTGCAAAGTCTGTTCTCCAGCCTGCTTCAGTTTGAAGCAGCTGAGGGAATGGATAGTAATGGGGTGGAGGTTGGTGACCAGTGGGGCCCTTCCCTCACTATTTTGCCATCCTGCAGGTCCTACATCGCCAATCGAGTGACTGACAAGTTGACTCCTATTCATGATCATATTTTCTGCTGCCGCTCAGGCTCAGCAGCTGATACCCAGGCAGTAGCTGATGCTGTCACTTACCAGCTTGGTTTCCACAGGTGCTTGTGGGCAGGGGAGGAGCAAATATCTGAAGGATGTTGGGACCTGAGGAGCTAAATGGTGTGACTTCCAGTTCCTGACACTGCCTTCTCTATCACTCCCCTTACCCTCTAGCATTGAGCTAAATGAGCCTCCACTGGTGCACACAGCAGCCAGCCTTTTTAAGGAGATGTGTTACCGATACCGGGAAGACCTGATGGCAGGAATCATCATTGCGGGCTGGGACCCCCAAGAAGGAGGGCAGGTCAGATACCACCACCCCACCTCCAGAGCACTGGAGCCGTGCTTTTGATCCTCTCCCCACCCAGCCATTTACTATTTCTCTTGTTCTCTAACTCACTTGTTCTTACTTTTAACTCTTCTCAGACCGATCCCTCAATGAACGGTTGAATGTGCATGTGTTGCGGGGAGGGTACAGCTGATAACTCTTTTCTTCCCTCCATCTGGCAGGTGTACTCAGTGCCCATGGGGGGTATGATGGTAAGGCAGTCTTTTGCCATTGGGGGCTCTGGGAGTTCCTATATCTATGGCTATGTTGATGCCACCTATCGAGAAGGCATGACCAAGGAAGAGTGTCTGCAATTCACTGCCAATGGTGAGAACTTGGGCTTTGGGGCCTGTGAGCTTCAACCCCCTTACCCAGGCAAGACCAATGTTCCTCATTCCTTGCAGTGATCCCAGTACTTGACTCTAAACAACTCTCTTTTTTTATCTACAGCTCTCGCTTTGGCCATGGAGCGGGATGGCTCCAGTGGAGGGGTGATCCGTCTGGCAGCCATTGCAGAATCAGGGGTAGAGCGGCAGGTACTTTTAGGAGACCAGATCCCCAAATTCACCACTGCCACTTTACCACCTCCCTGAGTCCTTGGATTCTAGAATACAATAAGAGGTACCCTGTACCAATGCAAAATTCAATAAACAGTCTGTCAAAGAAAATCTGGGTGCTTTGGGGTTGTTTTCTTGATCTCAAGCCTTAACTTGTCTGTCCAACTCCTGTTTGTACAAATCATTGCTTTAAGTTCCAAAGGAGTTGGTGAGGTGGTTTTCAAATCTCTTTCTCTAGACCACTTTGTCCCACACTTCCTTTCCTCTACTATATCCAAGTCCTTAAGGCACCATAGTGTGATTGATGTGGAGGCAACCAACAAATGACATGGGTAGCTACTAGCTCAAGGCCAGAAGGACTTCAGATCTCCAACCCAGACTCATGGTCCCCTCCCTCCACACTCAACTCTCACCTCATCCTGTCAGGAGCAGTAATGTGATGACTCCTTCACTTTTGAGAGAAAGGTGAACCTAAGATGGATATTGGGTGAGAGAGGGCAGCCCCTGGAAGTGCTGCAAGCCAGGTCTGGAAGCTTCTATTCCTGTAGGGAGGGTGTGAGGGTCAGTCAGTCGTCAGTCCCTTGGATGGGAGTCTGAGAGTGGACTCTGGTCCCTCCATGGCTGTCCTCACTCAAGCCAGGGATCTACAGGAGCTCAGTGGTGCTCATTAGCAGTGATCGATATTCTCAGTCTTGGCCTAACTCTTCTTTTCTTTACTCCATAGTTCAGGGAACTGGAGGAACCACATTTGAAAACTTTGCCCTAGAGTATAATCCTGCCGTTGAAGTTTTGGAGGAGATAAGAGAGGGCTCCTAAGGAGGCAGGGAGGTCCTAGATAAAGTGAAGAAGAGCAGAGAAAGTTCTCTGACCCCACATGTGTACCTCAAACTCAACCAATAGAGGACTTTTGATTTTCCTGCAAAACCTGTTCTCCTGGTCCTCCCTACTTCAAGGCAATGCTGATTCCTCTCTTGCACTCCACATTCAATCTAAAAACTGCTCACAAGTGTGTCTAGAAGTATGTCTCCCCATCACCACACCACTGTCTTAATCCAGGCCACCATTATCTCTTGCCTGGAGGATGGCACCAACCTCCTATATGGCTGCTGCTTCCACACTTACCCTTCTATAGACTCCCCAGGTAGCAACCAAAGTGATCTCTAAATGTAAGTTAAATCATGTCGTTTTCCTGCTTAAAGGTACTTAGTGTCTTAACATTCCATATAGAATAATATTCTAGCTCTTTAGCATGGCCTAGAAGACCCAGCAGGTTCCCTCAATCTTGACATTGGTCAGTGGCATTTTTTGTTTCCTAGAACTTCAATGGGGTTACACTTACACTTGTTTTTTCAGCTTGGGACTGCTCTTTCCTGATTCTCTTTTTTTTAAATAAACTATTTTCAGAGCAGTTTCAGGTTCACAACAATTGAGCAAGTGATACAGACATTTCCCATCTACCCTCTACCCTACATATGGATAGCCTCCCCCGCTACCAACATCCTGCACCAGTGGTACGTTTGTTATAAACAGAACCTACACTGATGCATTTTGCAATTTTCACATGGCTACTCATCATCCAGGTCTCAGCTCAAATGTCACCTCATCAGAAAGGCCTTTCTTGACCACCTGAAATTTAAGAAATACCACCTGCCTCCATCTTGCTCTCACATTACCCTATTTAATTTTCTTCATAGCAGCTCTTATCACTGTCTTGTATTAGGCTTACTTGTTTACTTTTTGTCTACCACCCCAATCAAGATATAGGACATTTCTGTCACTAAATTCCCTTGTGTGTCCTTTTACAGTCAATCTCTTGCCACAGGCAACTATTGATCTGATTTTCATTGCTATAGGTTGGTTTTGCCTATTTCGGAGCTGTATATAAATGGAATCATGTATTACTCTTCTGAGTCTGGGTTCTTTCAGCAGAATTGTTCTGAAATTTACTCATGTTGCGTGTATTAACAGTATGTACTTTTGTAATAACAGCTTTATTGAGATATAATTCACATACCATAAAATTCACCCTTTTAAAGTACAATCCAGTGGTTTTTACTGTATTTACAAAGCTGTGTAACCACAACAATTAATTTTATGACATTTTAATTGCCCTCAAAAGAAACTACCTATTTGCAGTCACTCCCTTGTCCTCTTTCTCTCCAGCTACTGGCAACTACTAGTCTACTTTCTGACTCTAGATTTTCCTATTCAGGACATTTCATCAAAATGGAGTCATACAAATGTGGTCCTTTGTGTCTGGCTTCTTCCACTTAGCATAATGGGTTCAAGGTTCATCCACGTTGTAGCATCTATCAGCACAGTATTCCTTTTTATGGCTGAATAATAATATTCTATTATAGGGATACACCACATAATGTTGATAGTCATCGGTTGATAGTCATTGGGTTGTTTCTATCTTTTTACTGTTTGGATAAGACTATTATGGATATTTTTGTAGTTTTTGTGTGGACTAATGTTTTAAATTCTCTTGGGTATATACCTAGGTATGGAATTCCTGGGCCATATGGTAACTATGCTTAACAGTATGAGGAACTGTTTGCCAAGGCGGTTGCACCATTTTACACTTTATTCATTTCTATTGCTAATAGTTTATGTACCAGAAATTAATCAAAATTAAAAACTTCTGCTCTTCAAAGCCACCATTATTTAAAAAAAAAAGCCACATTCTGGGAGGAAGTATTTGCACTATGTATCTGATATATATCAGATAAATGATTTTATTTAAAAAAGGATTTGGAAAAGTTTGGCAGTTTCTTATAAAGTTACCATACACTTATTATATGACCCGGCAACTATACTCTGAGCTCTTTACCCAAGAGAAATAAAAACTTACATCCACTCAAAGACTTATGCAGGAATGTTTATAGGAGCTTTATTAATAGACAAAAGCTAGAAACAACACAAATGTCCATCAAAAGAGATTAAGAAATCTGCTTTAAAAGAAAAATGGGAATATTTGTCTTTTATAACCTGAAAGTTTTCCTGCGTCCCCGTAAGCTCCAGGAGAGCAGGTTCCGTGACTGTCCTGTTCACTATTGGACTAAGGGCGCAATAGTGAATGGATGAAAGAATGCAAGCTTGGCGTCCATCAATGAATTTGTAGCCACCATTGCTCCAGCCTTTTATCATTCTTTCCGTCTACAATTGCTGGCCAGAGGCCAGGCCCGATGTGGTTCGCAGCCGGCCGAGGAAAGGGGTACCGGAGGGTCCCCGCAGCGGAGGCGAGTCTCTTCAGGGGCCCAGGTAGTGCCGGAGGCCGGAACAGGCGGGGGGCCCGCGGGGAGCGGTGGAAAGTGCGCAGGGTACAGCGCCCACGCGGCGGGGGCAGGGCGCACTCAGACGGCGCGGGACCGACGGACAGACTGGCTGACAGCGTCAGCCGGACGCACGGAGCGGGCCGCGCGCCCCGCAGCGCAGAGAGCGGCCCCCGGCCAAGAGCCGCGCGCAGGGCGGCGGGGCGGGCCGCGGGGGCGGGACAGGACTGACGAGAATCCTGCGGAGGTGAGGCCGGGGGCCGTCCCGCCCCCGAAGGCAGGCCCCGCGGCCCGGCCCCGCCCCGGCTTGCTGGGGTGTGGGCTCCGCTCCGGCTCCGCTCCGCTCCCTCTGCTCGCGAACCCGCGCTGGCGCCGGCTCGGGCGGCTCGGGTGAGGCGGCCGGGGAGGGGGCACCGCGGAGCTCCCGGGCCCGGGAAGCCGGGTGGGGTCGGGCTTGGGCCCGGGCTGCGGGGCCTCCTGACTCAGCTGCGCGCTGAGATTTCGGGGTTTTCCTCCCGGGCGGGGAGCACGGAACTTCCTCATTCCCGCCCGGACCCCCTCTCCCAGCTGGCCTGGCGAGGCTTGAGCCCCGGAGGCTCCGGACCCCCGGCGACCGCCCGAGGCCCCTTGCCGTCTTCTGCTCTGCCCCAGTTTGGGGCCATCCAAGCTGGGCCGGGTGTTCCTCCGTGCCCTGGTTACGAGACGGGAGGCAGGGCTGCGGGATTGTGGATGAAGGATCGACAGGGGATAGAGGATAACGGTGGGTTCCGGGGGGGGGGGGCGTTGCAGACCGACGGGGTTGTCATCAGGGAGAGGTGGGGAGTCAGAAGAAGCCAGGCAGATGGAGGAAGAGGGGAACCTGTGGGAGGCAGAGGACCCTGGAGGTGGGATGGGGGACAGGGTTCTGCAGGGCAGATCACCTCCTTGAGACCTCTCTATATTCCTAAGATGATGGCAACCCCTGAAAGCCTTTTCCCGTCTGGGGGCGACCTGGACTCCAGCCAGTTACAGATGGAGCCTGATGAGGTGGACACTCTTAAGGAGGGAGAGGACCCAGGTACACACGGAGGACGGTCCTCTGGGAGAGGAGCATGAGGGGGTTGAGACCTCTGAGGGACCACATTCCCACTTTCTTTCCTCTTAGCTGATCGGATGCACCCCTTTCTGGCCGTCTATGACCTTCAGCCTCTGAAAATGCACCCCTTGGTGTTTGCTCCTGGGGTTCCTGTCACAGCCCAGGTGGTGGGCACTGAGAGATACACCAGTGGATCCAAGGTGGCTGGGCTGGCACCAGGAGGGGGTAAAGGGAGGGCTGGCCAAGGTAGGAGGGGCTGTATGCAACCCAACCATGGGACATCCATTCAGTTCCTCACACCCCCAGGTGGGAACCTGCACTCTGTATTCTGTCCGCTTGACTCATGGCAACTTTACCTGGACAACCAAGAAGAAGTTCCGTCATTTCCAGGAGCTGCATCGGGACCTCCTGAGACACAAAGTCTTGATGAGTCTGCTCCCTCTGGCTCGGTGAGGGGGACCAGACTGCTTCCTCTGAAGGACAGGTGCCCCACACCCTGGGGCAGCCTGTGCTGCCATTGCCCAGCCCCATCACTCCTTTGGGTGGGTGCCTGTCCCACCCCCGGGCCACAGCTTTTCCTCCTCCAGGTACTTCCCCCCATTCTGGCCACTGAGCCCCCTTCCCTGACCCCGGTTACCAGGAAACCTTCCCCACTGGGCTTGTCCTGTCCATGGTTCTGTGCCAGTGTCTCTCCTGGGCTGGATGCCCAAAATGCCTTTGGCAGCCTTTTCTTGTCTCCATTTTCAGGGGGAATAGGCGCCTTGCTGCTGCCAGTTTCTAGGCCTCCTCTCCTCCTCCAAAGCCCGGTTTCCAGTGCTTTAGCCTCCCAGCCCTTCCTTAACCTTCACCCCATCCCTTCCACAGGTTTGCTATTGCCTACCCTCCAGCCCAAGAGGCAGCTAATAGAGAGATGCCCTCTCTACCCCGAGCAGGTCCTGAGGGCTCCACCAGACATACATCCAGCAAACAGGTGCGACCAGGAAACAGGTCCTTGGGTAGGCATTTGGTGTGCAAATAGTTCTGGTCCCATCTGTCTCTGTCTCTCACCCCTACTTAGAAATATCTGGAGAATTACCTCAACTGCCTCCTGACCATGTCTTTCTACCGCAACTACCATGCTATGGTGAGGTCTAGGGGCTGGATGCCTGGGTCTTTTTAGGTGGAACAGTATAATCAGATCCCCAAGGGGCAGAAGACCAGGTCCAGTAGAGCCTGAGAAGCTGAAAGCCAGAGTCTCTCCTCTGAGTCTTTGTCTTCCTCTGCAGACAGAGTTCCTGGAAGTCAGTCAGCTCTCCTTTATCCCAGACCTTGGCTCCAAAGGACTGTGAGTGTCTGAAAGCCCTCACCCAGCCATCTACAAACATCTGGATCTCTCCCTACCTGTGAATGGGGAAGGCAGTGCAGGGTGGGCAGGGGGTCTGGATTCCTCATCTGGCATCTCTTCCTGACTTTCCCCACAGGGAGGGGGTGATCCGGAAGCGCTCAGGTGGCCACCGAGTTCCTGGCCTTACCTGCTGTGGCCGAGACCAAGTGTGTTATCGCTGGTCCAAGAGGTGAGGCCTGGCATGGAGCAGCTGGGTATGGGTGGGGGTGAGGAAGGAGATCCCAAGGGCAGGAGGAATGGATGGAGCCCTTCCATTCCAGGTGGCTGGTGGTGAAGGACTCCTTCCTGCTGTACATGTGCCTTGAGACCGGCGTCATCTCATTTGTTCAGCTCTTCGACCCTGGCTTTGAAATACAGGTGGGGAAAAGGAGCACAGAGGCACAGTATGGGGTCCGGATCGACACTTCCCACAGGTAAGGCCTCTTGGTGTGAGCAGGCACCTGAGAAGTGAAGAGCCAGCCAAGGCCCTGAAGGGAGTTGAGTGGAAGTGACCATGGACTTTGTAGGAAAGGAAGGCATTTCCACCCCTCAGGGAACTGGTCCAGCCAGATGCCTGGGACTGCTCTTACAGTCTGAGCCCAGGGTAAGGGCATTGAGCATACGCTTGGGGGAGGGACTCTCAATGTAAAAGAAAAGGCACTTCATTTGTTCATTTGTTCACTCAACAATCCTGAGTGCCCCCTACAATACCTGGTGCCAAGAATCCAACTGTGAATAAGACAGATGTATGCCCTGCTCTGTGGGGTCATGAATTAGGGACTAAAGGCAGAAGGCGGAAAGAGATGGTAGCTAAAGAAGGGAAGTTGCTGGTTAAGACCAGAGGTATAGAAGGTAAGGACTGTGCTCCCATTGTTCCTGTCCAGATCCCTGATTCTCAAGTGCAGCAGCTACCGGCAGGCTCGGTGGTGGGGCCAGGAGATCACTGAGCTGGCCCAGGGCCCGGGCAAAGACTTCATACAGCTGCACCGGCATGACAGCTATGCTCCACCCCGGCCTGGGACGTTGGCCCGGTGGTGAGACACTGATGTCCCTTCTGAGCTTGTCTGTGACCTTCTTACCCCTTGGTATTCTCTGAGTCCTTGATCCTCTTTTATCTCCTCTGACCCCTCTGACCTCAATAACCCTCCCCTTTGACTTCCCGAATCTCCCTGATCACCTGACCTCTTTAACCAATGCTGATCTCTGAATACCCTCTGATCTTTCTGACCCCTAAACTTGGTAATCTCTGGTCAGGGACCTTTTTAAGCCTGTCTTACCACACTGACCCTCTCTGTACTCTATGATCTCTTCCAATCTCTCTGATGTATTGATTCATTTAATAAACATTTTCTAAGCACCTCTGATGTGCCAGGTCCAGTGGTGGGAATAAGACACAGTCAGTCCAGTAGGTGATTCACTCACAAAACAGTGGGAGCTTGCCATGCTGGTAGTAGACAGAGAGTATCGAGGAGGAGCATCTTCCCCAGCGTGGGGATGTCAGGTCTGGCTTCCAGAAAGCCTTTGCAATGAAATGGAGAAGGACAGTCCATGCAGAGAAGCTAGGAACAGCCTGGTATATTTAGGAACCTGTTACAGCCTGAGGAGGAGCAACCAGAGAAGAGGCTGGGAGCCGGCAGGGCCTGATCAGCGCTCCACAAGCTGAACTGAGACAGTTGAACTTTATCATAGGCAGAGGGGAGTCGTGGAAGGAATTTTTTCCCTGGCAGTGGTACTGAGATTTATTTTTCAACATAAGAACTAATAGTAGCTAATATTTATATAGTACTTACTATGTGCCAGGGACTGTGCCAAATATTTTGCTTGTATTAACTCACTGAATCTTCACAGTAGACCTATGAGGCAGTATGAGGCAGGTACGGTTGTTACCTATATTTTGCAGATGAGAAAACTGAGGTAAGAAATTAAGGAACTTGCTCCAGGTTGCATACCTTGTAAACTAGGATTCAAATTCAGGCAATCTGGGTCAAGACCCTGCCCTTAACCATCATAGTGGACTGTTAGTTATTAACAAGTCAGACAATATGGAAACATATGAAGTAAAAAGTTAACGTTTCCATTCATTGCACAACTCTTTACCCCTAGCCGTTCCTTCTTCCCTATACTCTCCCCCAACAATCCCATTCCTCCCCCAAGAGGTAACCCTGGCAATAGTTTGATGTTTCTCCTCCCAGACCTTTTCCTGCATATTTTCATATTCTCGTGCATATGTGTTACTTTTTATTTTAATGCACATGAGATCATGCACTTTCCTCTATGACTTATTTTTTCACGTAATACATGTGTCAGATATTAGGCAGTTAGGTTATTTCTCATTTTTCATTCTTATGAGTGATGCTGCAGTGAACACAGTCTTTGCCTACCTATTTAATAGGATGTATTCCCAAACATAGAATTACTATGTGCATTAATGGTATTAAGGAATATGTGCATTTAATATTCTGATAGATACTGCCAAATTGTCCTCTAAAAAGGCTGTGACCAATGTATGTTCCCACAGTCATAGACCATACTTGGTCAAAGACCATACTTACATCCCCATGTGCTAATACTGTTACCAGTGGTTTTAATTTTTGCTAGTGTAGTGAATTTTAGAAATGTTATTTCATCTTAATATCAATTTCCTTGTTTACTAGTGAAACTGAACATCTTTTCCTGTGACCGACCATTTTAATCCCCTTTGTGAACTGTCAGTTTTTATTCACTGCTTATTTTGCAGTTGGCTTATACAGCCTTTTCTTATTGATTTGTTGAAACTCTCTTTATATTTCATATATTATTCCTCCCAATCTTTAGTCATTTTCTTTAGTTTATTGTATCTTTTGTAACTTTCATTTTTATTTAGCTACTACTGGCAAATGTATCCCCCCCTTTGTTGTATCTGATACCATCTGACCTCTCTAGTCACTCTTCATCTTTGATCCTGCTGTCACCTCTGACCCATGACTGTCCTCCGGTCTTCACTCTCCAGAACTTTCTGGCTTCTGAGTTCCCTGACTTCCTTGGCTTGGCCTCCCCCCAGGTTTGTGAATGGGGCAGGTTACTTTGCTGCTGTGGCAGATGCCATCTTGAGAGCTCAAGAGGAGATTTTCATCACAGACTGGTGGTAAGTGGGGGCAAAGCCAGGCAGAAGGGACAGGATAGGGCCTGGGGCAGATCAGTTTATGGGTCAGAGGAGGGAGCAGAAGGGGAGGAATGACTGGTCATCTGGGCTTAGCTTGCCCCTCACCCTTGCCCTGAATTCCAGGTTGAGTCCTGAGATTTACCTGAAGCGTCCAGCCCATTCAGATGACTGGAGACTGGACCTTATGCTCAAGAAGAAGGCGGTGAGGAGAGTGGTCAGGCTGGAGGCGAGGTGGTGGGGGTTGCCTCTGCGTGGAGGTGGGTTAGAAGGGACTGCAGCATGGGGAAGGTAGGGAATCTGAGGCTGCAGGGGGAGGAAATATACCCATCCTGGCTCATTGTCTGGCAAACATCACCTCTTCCTCTTCCCTAGGGAGAAGTGAGACCTCCCTCTTTGTGCTCTTCCTCTACCTGGTATAGCCTTCTCTCCCAGTACCCATTATACTTATTGTGTTCCCTGGGACGTACACGTCTATCTCGCTGGACTAGCTGATATCACTAATTCCAGTATACAAGGCACAGTGTCTGCTGTGTTGGGGACATCCACAGATGTTAATGGATGGGAGGAAAGACATGGGTGATGGAAGGTGGGTGGGTGGTTAGATGATGGAAAGGGAGATGGATGGAAAGTTGCAAGGTTGGAAAGGCAAATCAATAGATAGGTGGGTGGGCAGATGGATGAATGATAGGTGGTAGACAGGAGATGAGCAAATGGTTGGGAAGGTGGATGGATAGATAACGATAGGTGGGCAGGTGTGTGGATGGATGAGTGCTCACCCACCACTAAGTTTGCTGCAAGCATCTGAGCAGGGTGTCAGGGGCAGAGCATCCAGGTTCTGCAGGCTGGGTAGAGGGACATACAGGAATCCTGAGCATGGGGAAAGGTTGCAAGGGTAGAACGTGGCCATTCTGAGAGGCATTAGGATCTTATTCCCTCCCTCACCACCAGGAGGAGGGTGTGCGTGTGTCTATATTGCTGTTCAAGGAAGTGGAGTTGGCCTTGGGCATCAACAGTGGCTACAGCAAGAGGGCCCTGATGCTGCTGCACCCCAACATAAAGGTGACTCTGGGCTGAGACCCGTCCCATGCTACAGCACTGCTCAGCACCGTTTCCCATCCCCTAGCCCTTCCTTTCCTGGAATGTCCCATCCTTCTGTTTTTCTAGACTCCCAGCACCAGCTCTGTCTTCTCTCACCTAAGCCCACCCTCATGAACTCCTCCATATCTGCTTCAGGTGATGCGCCACCCAGACCAGGTGACGCTGTGGGCCCATCATGAGAAGCTCCTGGTGGTGGACCAAGTAGTGGCCTTCTTGGGGGGGCTGGACCTTGCCTATGGACGCTGGGATGACCTGCACTACCGACTGACTGACCTGGGGGACTCCCCCAAATCACCTGCCCCACAGGTAACCCCTCAACGCCTTCCTGAGCTCCCCCAAACTGAACTAACCGAAATCCATACCCTTTCTAGCTCCCAGCTCTACTCCCTGCCAGGCATTCCAAGTGCTGCCCCCACTCAGAGTTTCTCTGCCTTTCTGGGACCCCAAAAATGCACTTTGAAGATACTATGACCCAGTCCCTTCCCCATTCCCACTATGCACCCCCGTTCCTCTAGGGATATCAAATGCTGCTGAAGGGGAGGGCCAGGGAATTAAACTCTTCTGTTCCATTCTTACTCTCTGTCTCTCTGTGTCTCTCTGTCTCACAGTCTTTCAGTGTTCCTATCTTCTCTTTGGCCCTGGCTCTGTATGGCCCTCACAACCTCTCCTTGCCCCTGGCTTGGGTGTGTTCCCCCTACAGCCCCCCGCCCCATGCTCAGACTCTCCAGACACCCCAGACCTCTCTCACAACCAACTCTTCTGGCTGGGCAAGGACTACAGCAATCTTATCACTAAGGACTGGGTGCAATTGGACAGGCCATTTGAGGGTGAGTGTCCCTTCCTCCAAAACCCTGGAGAGCTGGGAGCAGGGGCAGAACTCAGGGCTGAGATGAGCCGGGTAGATAATGCCACTTTTGCTGTAATCACCTCCTTCTCCTCTGTGCCTCAAGTGTCCCCAGGAGACTATCCCTGACCTCTCCCCAGATTTCATCGACAGGGAGACCACACCCCGGATGCCATGGCGGGACATTGGGGTGGTCGTCCATGGCCTACCTGCCCGAGATCTTGCCCGGCACTTCATCCAACGCTGGAACTTCACCAAGGTGCTCACTATCTCCTGGAGGTTGGGAGGGGCCAGGGGCAGCTTGCCACCTCCCACTGACTCTGCCATCCTTCCCCCTCAGACTACCAAGGCTAAATACAAAACCCCCACGTACCCCTTCCTGCTGCCCAAGTCCATCAGTACTGCAAACCAGCTGCCCTTCGTGCTCCCAGGGGGGCAGTGCGCCACTGTGCAGGTGAGGCCCCTGGCTTCAGCCTTCCCGCACCTCTCCCTCCCTTCAGTCCAGTGCTCCTACTACTGCCCTTGACCTGAGAGGGCCAGGAACCACGTCATATTGCTGTCCCCCCAGGTCTTGCGGTCAGTGGACCGCTGGTCAGCAGGGACCTTGGAGAACTCCATCCTCAATGCCTACCTGCACACCATCAGGGAGAGCCAGCACTTCCTCTACATTGAGGTCTGCCTGGGGTGAGGGCAGGGCAGAGAATGGAGGGGACATCCCAGGAGAGAGACTTAGGATCAATCACTGAGGGCTGGTGTACCTGGACCTGGAAAATTGCAGAAGCCTGGGGCCAGGGCCTGGAGCCTGGGGGTGGGGATGGTGGCTGGGAGCTGAGGGTAGGGGCCCAGCTGCTGACGTCTGTCTTTGGTCCCTGCCCCAGAATCAGTTCTTCATTAGCTGCTCAGATGGGCGTACAGTTCTGAACAAAGTGGGTGATGAGATTGTGGACAGAATCCTGAAGGCCCACAAGTAAGGTGGAGAGACAGGAGGGTGGGGGCTGGGGTCGTGCTTTAAGCCCAACCAGAGGGGTGGGGCTTTGGGAACAGGTCATGCCCCTGACTCCATCCCCTTACCCAGACAGGGGCAGTGCTTCCGAGTCTATGTGCTTTTGCCCCTGCTCCCAGGTTTTGAGGGCGACATCTCCACAGGTGGCGGTAATGCCATCCAGGCCATTCTGCACTTCACTTACAGGTGAGCCGCCCAGCCAGACTCAGCCTCTCCAGGACCCCATCCCACCCACACCGTCATCCTGACTGTCCTAACCCCTTCCTGCTGGACTTTTGAGGTCATCTCTCTCCTGAGAGCCACCACCCAACCTCTACCTCCCTCACCCATTCTTTTCCCCCAGGACCCTGTGCCGTGGGGAATATTCAATCCTACATCGCCTCAAAGCAGCCAGTGAGTGCTGGGGACTGGGGACTCAAGCCCTGGACCCTGGGGAGGGGGAGATTGGAAAGCTGGGGACCCGGAGGTGGAGGGAAGGAGGTTATCATTCTTGAATGTTTCTGGGGCCACTGCCCTGAGACCACAGGTGGTCTTTCACTGCAGGGAGGAGATAGACTGGATTCTGCAAGCTTCTGAAGAGAGGAGGACAGGACAGGGCTCCATCTACATAGGGAGGGCACCTCTCACCTCACTCCCTCCTACCCCCATTCTCTTACTCACAGTGGGGACAGCATGGCAGGACTATATGTCCATCTGTGGGCTTCGCACGCACGGAGAGCTGGCCGGGCATCCAGTCTCAGAGCTCATCTATATTCACAGCAAGATGCTCATTGCAGATGACCGGACAGTCATCATTGGTCAGTGTGGAATCTGGACCCCGGGAGAGGAGGGTGCGGAGAGGTGGAGCAGTAACCTGCCAGGGGCAGTGGGGCAGAGGGGGTGATGGAGAGTGCAGCTGGAGGCCAAAGAAGGTCTGTTGCTCACAGGTTGGTGGTCCAGTAGGGGTGATGGGTGGGGAGGCCCCGTGGGCTCAGGCAGACACCCTGAGTCTTGCACCCACCCCAGGCTCCGCGAACATCAATGACCGGAGCTTGCTGGGGAAGCGGGACAGTGAGCTGGCTGTGCTGATCGAGGACACAGAGATGGAGCCATCCCTCATGGACGGTGGGGCCTATCAGGCGGGCAGGTTTGCCTTGAGTTTGCGGAAGCATTGCTTCAGGTAGAGCCGGGCGGGGTGCTATAAGGTGTTGGAGAGAGGTGGGAAAGGGGAGGTCTGCCTTTTGAGCAGGTGTGAGGAGTTGCTTAGAGGTAGTACTGGGATTCAAATAGGCAGACTAATCCAGTTTAGGGTACCCACAAAGTAGGAGTACCGAAAAAAATAAGAGATATTTTTTAAATCATTTGGTCTGTGTTTTAAAGCATCAAAATAATTGCTACAGTAGAGACAAAATTCCATTTACAGTATTTCACTGCTTAACATTTCATCTCTTTTGAATTGCCTAAGTAGGCACAATATAACCTTTCTGGTACTCGGGTGCCCAAGGATCTCAGTCTGGCCCTGTTGGGCCCCCTTTCTCCTGCAGTGTGATTCTTGGGGCAAGTGCCCGGCCAGACCTGGATCTCCGAGACCCTGTCTGTGATGACTTCTTCCAGTTGTGGCAAGACACAGCTGAGAGCAATGCCAATATCTATGAGCAGGTGGGCACTGAGGGGAGCTGACAGAGGGAATTCATGGATTATCCTGTTTGGGGTCAGATGGAGAGAAGCCCCACCACACAGTCATTCTTAGAAGGGGGATGAGGGCCTGGGGTCATATCACAGGATTCAGTGGCTCAGGGTCAGTGTGGGGGAATATGGTATGGGGTGTGGGGGCATCCAGCCCAGCTGGGCTTGGACTCTTGCCAGAGTCTCTCCAAGTCTCATTGGCCTCTGTGCCCCCCAACCACAGATCTTCCGCTGTCTTCCATCCAATGCCACACGCTCCCTGCGGGCACTCCGGGAATACGTGGCTGTGGAACCCCTTGCCATGGTCAGTCCTCCTCTGGCCCAGTCTGAGCTCACCCAGATCCAGGGCCACCTGGTCCACTTCCCCCTCAAGTTCCTGGAGGATGAGTCGTTGCTGCCCCCCCTGGGTAGCAAGGAGGGTGTGATGCCCCTAGAAGTGTGGACGTAGCTGCGGCTCCAGCCTGCTAGAGGTCACCAGCCACTGGGCTCCACTGAGCCTGCCTCCCTGCTCCCTAGCCCCGAGGACTGAGGGCAGTGCCCTTTGAGACATGGGGATGGCAGGCAGCCTTGAAGGGGACGAGAGAAGTCACAGAGGACCCTTTCTTGAGAAGCAGCCAACAAGAACACTCCCAACTCTGGGCCGGGGAGGCAGGAGAGAGTCCCAGGAAGCTCATCCTCCATGGTGCCCAGTTCAAACCTCTGTTACAGAGAAGCGACACTCTTGCCAGGATGCCTGGGGCCATTTGTACTCCTAGAGGAGCAGGCTCTGACCTGCGCCTTCCATCTCTCCATCCTTCCTGCTGTCCTGGAACCCCTTCCTGCCCCAGGGCCTCTCCCCACCCATTACTGCCAAGGTGGAGGGAAGGATGAAGCCACTCCTGGCTTCAGCCCCCTGCACCTCCCCGCCGTCGGGAGGTATGGGGTGGGGGTAGCACACTAACTCCCTCCACCAACCTACCAACAGACACTAATTTTGTATCAGTTCAGTAAGCATTTCATAAATAAAAGCATAGAAAAGGTCTGCCTCTTCCTCAGCTGAGCTGAGTGCCTGTCCAGCCAGACCCCTCACTGCGCACACACCAGGTCCCTTCACTTTCTCTCCACTCTGCTTCTTTCTGCTGCTGTATCTCCACCCTATTTGTCTGTGGCTTCAGGAGCTCAGTCACCTGGTTGCTGGGAGGAGAAGGTGTTCACACAGGGCTGCCTGGGCAGAAGGAAGGGCAGAGACAAACCAGGACATCCGGAGAACAGTGGAGCTGACCAAAGCTCCAGAGCAGGGAGGTACCCAGAGAAGGGCCTGCAGGGCTGCCTCTTGCTTTCAAGGGACAACATAGGGAGAGGCTTTGGGTAGTTAAGGGTAGAGGTTTCAGTCAGAAAGAACTGAGCTTGGATTGTCACCTATTACATAGGTGGCCCTGTCAGGTCACATCACTTCTCTGGGCCTTGGTGGTCCTGAGACAGGAACTGTGGGTTTAGACAGTAGGGTGAAGGCCTCTGGAAAAAGACCCCTACCAAAACTCCGTATTAAACAATTAAGGAAAGTCAGAGTCACATTAATTCTCTTAAGTAATACAAACATTCTTCTGTGAGATTAATTAAAACTAAAAAGCCAGGAGTAACTTGGCCTGGAATGTTTGAATATCCCCCAGATAAGAAAGTATCTCAGTATAGCCTATGTTTTCATTGTGTCAGTTAGAACATACCATTGTAAGATTTACTTTAGCCTGCTAAAAAGCCCAGCTTATTTTCTTTAACTTTACCCAGATGCTGCTTTTCTTCCTCCAGCCCTAAATCAAATAATTTGCAACCTAGGCACATAATAATGGCAAGCAAGCCCAGTCATAAACAATGTAGTAAAAACAGGAAGGACTCCATCTTAAAGATAAGATTGCATTTTAAAACCCAAGAAGTCAAAAAGTAAGTTTCTTAACATAACAGACAATAACTCAGCCCATCTTGGGAGCAGGACAGGCAGTCTTGATTGATAAGCTCCCAGACCAAGAAGCTCCTATCTGGGAAAGAATCAAAGCAGTAAATTTCTTGTTAATAACTTTGCAAAATAACCCAGAAGACTGGTAAGAAACTTAGTGTCTCTTCAAAAATAAACTTTTAGGGGCCATCTAGTGGGTCTGCATCCCTAGCTCTTTGTCTCTCTGCTTATAAATCCCCTAGACAATGCACCACTACAGACTCTCTTGTCCCTGAGCTCTGTCTTCTCACTTTATCTCTAAATTAAAGCCTCTCACTTGCTCTCCTACTTTGAGTATTTGCAAAATTCATTCTTCAACTCCATGAACAAGAACCCTGGCATCAGTCCCAACTGGGAAGTGGGAATAATACATAGCTGACTTGCTGTAAAGATTCAGTCATTGATTTAAACATTATTAAGCACCTGCTCTTTGGCAGACACTGTTCTAGACTTACAGAAGTGAATACAACCAAGTCTCTACCCTTATGGGGCACTTAGGCACTTAGGCATGTATGTAGTGGAGCTTCACAGGCCAATACAGTAGCCACGGGTCACATTTTGGCTATTTACATTTTAATTAATTAAAATTACAAATAATTAAAACAATTCCTGACTCAAATTAGCCACATTTCACACGCTCAGTAACCACTTGTTGCTAGTGGCTCACATATATGGACCAGGGATAAACACAAAGTTTTATTGGATGGTGCTGCTCCAGAGGGAAGAGAGAAAATAAATGGTATATCACACACAGGATTGAGGAGGGTATTACCTCCCCAGATGGGTGGAGAAAAAAGAGATGAGATAACAGTGGTATATAGAGAGGACTTGTCAAGTCAATTGGTGACTTACATCTTCAGCTGAGTGATGTATATAAGAACTTTTATAATATATATATATTTATATATCTGAAATATTTTGCAATTAGACAAGGTTTAGCACAAGTCCTAGTTCTTGCCCTTCATTCCCCGAGTTTCAGAACTGACCAGAGGAGCAGGAAGAAATGGAGGGGAGTAGAGTGAGGAATTTAGGAAGGCTTCCTGGAAGAGGTGTGTGCTGCTAGATGTGGAGAGAGGGGATGCTGCTGCCTTGCTCCCATCCTCTCCTTTAAGTCCAGCTCTGTGTTCCTCTGAAGGAGTCACTTCCATACAACAACCCTCTAACACACACACAGAAAAGCAGCAGTCCCCTGATACTAACTGGCATTTGGCTATTTAGCCTCATTGTCAGCACCAAGTGCCTCTTTCTCTAAGGGGACCATTACCTCATTAACTGCCGAGTGGGGTGGAACCAGCAGCTGTCCCTGGTTGGGCTAGGGGCTAGGTGGGCTTCTGCTTCATACTGTCTGTTGGTCCATCTGCACCCCCTCATTAGTCCTAGGCTTTCTCAAATGGAGGCCACCACAGGGTGGGAAGGAAGCAGTGGGTTTGAAATCAGAATGAGTTGGCTCTAGACCCAGGATGAAGAGAATAAATTCAGCCTCCCAAAGTGGGTGGGAGGCCCTTAGGGTGACTTGGCCTATGCAAAAATGTTCATTCATCCCCTAGGGGTCCTATAATTTGTTTTATTTTTAATATTTTAACTTTTCTTGATGCTGATCCAGGGCTTTCTCCAAATTGTCTCTTTTCTGTTATGGACAATTTCATACATATAAAAGTGGAGAATAGGTTAATGAATCCTCATGTATCCATGTGTCCATACTCCACCTCCAATACTTGAGGTTTGGGTGGTCATTTATCCTATCCCTGTGTCCTTAATTTGCTCAGTCATTGATTCATTATTTCTTTATTAAACACTGCCAGTGAGTCAGTCATTAGTAAACTTATTGAGGACCTGGTATATGCCAAGTTCTTCACAGACCTAATTTTATTTTCTTAACCTTGCTGTTATTAACTCTGTTTTACAAATGATACAATTGAGCCACAGAGAGATTAATGACGCTCAAAGCACTAACTTTAAATTCTGTTTTTTCCTACTGTTCCATTGTCTTGATCTTGAATTACTAAATATCACAGTGCCTACCCAGACAAGAGAGGGCTTCATTCACTTATGTTTTATTAAGCTTCTAGTGGGTGCCAGGCTCTGTGCTGAACAAGACTGACATAATTCCTGCCTTTAAGGAGATTCAACAAATTTTATAACTGAAAGTGTTAAACGTTACTCTGGGGTTAAGCCAGGCAGCTAAAACAGAGGAGCCAAACTCAGTCTTAATGGGTCAAAAGAAAGCTTCATGGAGGAAGTGATTTAGACATGTGGGACAAAGCAAAGGGCAGTGAGGGTGGGCATGGCGATACTGGGGGGCTTGAGTTTATTTTCTTCAGTTCTTGTCCCAGCTGCAACAAACTGGAGGGCAGAGACACAGTAGTGAAGCACAGTAAAAAAATTTTTTTTATTAAGGTGTCATTGATATACACTCTTATGAAGGTTTCACATGATGAACCTTGTGGTTACTACATTCACCCATATTATCAAGACCCCCCTCATACTCCATTGAAGTCACTGTCCATCAGTGTAGTAATAGGCCACAGAGTCACTACTTGTCTTCTCTGTGCTACAGTGCCTTCTCTGTGACCCCCCACACCATGTGTACCAATCATAATACCCCGCAATTCCCTTCTCCCTCCCTCCCCACCCCTCTCCTTTGATAACCGCTAGTCCCTTCTTGGAGTCTGTGTGTCTGCTGCTGTTCTGTTCCTTCAGTTTTGCTTTGTTCTTATGTTCCACAAATGAGTGAAATCATTTGATACTTGTCTTCCTCCACCTGGGTTATTTCACTGAGCATAATACCCTCTAGCTTCATCCATGTTGTTGCAAATGGTAGGATTTGTTTTCTTCATATGGCTGAATAGTATTCCATTGTGTATATGTACCACTTCTTCTTTATCCATTTGTCTACTGATAGACACTTAGGTTGCTTCCATATCTTGGCTATTGTAAATAGTGCTGCAATATACATAGGGGTGCATATGTCTTTTTGAATCTGAGATCTTGTTTTATTTGGGTAAATTTCTAGAAGTGGAATTCCCACGTCAAATAGTATTTCTATTTTTAGTTTTTTGAGGAACCTCCATATTGCTTTCCACAATGGTTGAATTAATTTACATTCCCACCAGCAGTGTAGGAGGGTTCCCTTTATCTACATCCTCGCATCCTCACCAGCATTTGGTGTTCCTAGTCTTTTCTATGTTGGCCATCCTAACTGGTGTGAGGTTATATCTCAGCCATCCTAACTGGTGTGAGGTTATATCTCATTGTTTTTAATTTGCATTTCCCTGATAATTAGCTATGTGGAGCATCTTTTCACGTGCCTGTTGGCCATCTGAATTTCTTCTTTGGAGAATTATCTGTTCATATACTCTGCCCATTTTTTAATCAGGTTATTTGCTTTTTGGGTGTTGAGGCATGTGAGTTCTTTATGTATTTTGGATGTTAACCCCTTGTCGGATATGTCGTTTACAAATATATTCTCCCATACTGTAGGATGCCTTTTTGTTCTACTGATGGTGTCCTTTGCTGTACAGAAGCTTTTTAGCTTGATGTAGTCCCATTTGTTCATTTTTGCTTTTGTTTCTCTTGCCCGAGGAGATGCGTTCTGGAAAAAGTTGCTCATGTTTATATTCAAGAGTAAAAATTTTGAATGCACTTCAAGAGAGGAGGGGGCCTGAGTCAAGGCAGAAAAAGGCAGGTTTACTTGAATAAAGCAGAGAGTAAGGAAAAATGGGGGAAAGGGAAGCTTATTGAACTGCTGCTCGGCCTAAGGGCATAATCCCTTGCCAAGTCCTGAAGCCAATGTCACCTGGCATCCAGTGTCCTCTTGGAATCTACACAGCATAGGAACTGAGTTCCTACCACCCTGAGATTTGGAGGAGCTGCAGAGCACTGGATGGAGTGTGATTCTGTTCTGAGAACTTCCCAAAAGCAAAGAAAAGAGACTTTCAGGCAGGCTGCTAAGGAGCATGATTGTCCAGCTGCTGTCCTGTCCATGTCACCCAGGTGGCAGGAACTTGCAAGCCCAAATCAGAGCTCTCAGTAGTCCTTCCCTACTTATTTCAAGTAGGGACAGAGAGAGTGACACACTGGAAGAAAGGTGAGTGTGAGCAACCTCAGTACGCTTAAGGGTTTGGGGTCTGGGGTTTTATAGGGCTTTTTTGAGTAAGGGTCAGCATAAGGCATGGTATATACAGGTGATTTATAATTCCTTTGGAATCTTGTCTCAAGAATAGGGTTATTTAGGTGACTGTGTTAGTTTGGGACTTTAGCATTCTTTGTCCACATAGGTTTACTTACACTTCCGAGGTCTGTCTTCTGCCCTGGTTATAAAGTTACTTGATTAGGGGCTGGAGGGAGAGAAAAAAACAGTGTATAGTTTAAGTTAAAGAATAAACTGGGCCTTTTAGCAGACTAAGTAGAGTTTACAATGGCATGATCTAATTGACACAATGAAGACATGGATACTTTTTCTTTATCTGGGGAATATCTGGACATATGAAATTGTTCCAGGCCTTTGAAGCTTCAACTGATTAACTCATTAACTCTGTCTTTTCTGGCTTTCTAGTTTTATCTGGTTAACTCTTTGAGTTCCTTTTAGTGGGCTTTACTGGCCTTATTCTCCCTCCACCAGCTCATATCTATTTTTCTGCCTAACAGAATATTCCAGGGAGGAGAAACAGTAAGTGCAAAGGCTGGAGGGGAGTCTGTTAAATGCTGGGAACTGTGAGTAGAGGATTTCAGTATGGCTAGAACACCTGAGATCAAATGGTAGAGTAATGGAAAACATGGCAGGAAAAGCAGGAATAATCTTGAGGGGTCTTTGATGTCACACTTTAGACTATTCAAAAGTCAGTGGGGGAGGGTCTTAAACAGGAGAGTGACATCAGATTTGAGTTTTAGAAAAATCATTCTAAATGTAGAGAATGGATTTGAGGGGGTCAGGCAGGGAGACCAAGTAGGAAGCTGGTAAGAGTAATAGAGGTGAGTGGGGATTGTGGCTTGGACAAAGACAATGCCAAGGTAATTGGAAGGGGAGGGAAATGAGACAGCATGTGCATCTGGTATTCTAAAGTGAAGGGTCCATAACCCAGGGTGTTAGCCCCTTTCCAAAGACTTTTCATTCAAACTCTCCAAACTAATGTTTATATGAAGGCGGGTGGTGGGATTTTTCAGAAATACTATTGTTACTGGAAGCGATCTTGGGGATCAAACAGCCTTCTCCTCCAAGAAAAGCCCAGAGAAGCAAAGCATCTTGCTCAAAGTTACGCAGTATGTTAATAGCATAATATGATTCCCTGCAAAGTGTTCCCTAGCCTTCAGTGCGGCTAATGGTTAGGGGTACTGTGCCAACAGGACTAGACCTAAGGTGACCCAAGAAAGATCTGAAGGAGTTGGACATAGGTTCCTCCCCCTACCCTCCACGCCGCCCTGCTACCCTTTCCCCCAGGCGCAGCTCCAGCGATCAACCATGAATAATTGATGAAATAGTTCCTTTGTGCAGAACCCCAGATGCACAGATAACTCTGCAGTAGGATTCCCTATCCTGAGATCTGAAATTCCTTCCTCAGCTCTCTGCACTCCAACCAGGGAAGGGGGTAAAGGGCATTCCTATGGCAGCCAGTCCCCCCGACTACTCCCCAACTGTCATGTGGTTTCTCAAACCCGGTTCTCAAGGAGAGGCCCCTTCTTCAGCGGCTGCACTGTTGCCATGGCAATCAGGTGGGTGGACAGCCCATCCTATCTAGAGCCACCCAGCCCTCGCGTGGGGAGTTACCATAACAACCCCCCTAGTACTAGAGGGGGGTGGGTCCCGTCCCGCCCCCCTTCCCCCGCAAATAGAGAGGTGGGTGGCTTGATTGGCAGCTGGGCATAGCAAAGAAGAGAAAGGGAAGGAAAGGCGTCAGAGGGGAGCTAAGAAGGAAATGGGGTGGAGAAAGGGCAAAAAATAGGGAAGGGAAGGAAACGCCTGTGCGCACGCGCACCAGCTCGTGGGCCCCGCTCCGCGGCCGCATGGGCCGCCGCCCACTTCTTTCACGCCAGACTCGCGCGGTCTCACCATCTTTGCGCGCGCCTTTCGCGCTCTCGATCCTGCGCCTGCGCGCAGGTGTCGGCGCCTAGGGGGAGGGGAAACGGCGCGCTCGCGTCACGTTCCCTCGTCCACCCGCCTGGTGCACGGCCACTCCGCGCCTGCGCAGGAGAGTCGGGAAGCTCGGGTTGCAGGCTCCGGGACGATAGCTCCTGTCAGTCGGTGGGTCGGTCCTCCCGCCGGCCCTCCCCCTCCCTGTTTTCCCGGGGAGGCGCGGCAAAGTCCGCCCCCGGGATCCCCCAATGGGGGAGAAGCGGCGACGGCGGCAACGGACTAACCGAGCCGGAGCGTGAGCGGCCCCGGGGCACCGTTCCCCGCGGAGGCCATGGGCGACCCAGCCCCCGCCCGCAGCCTGGACGACATCGACCTATCTGCCCTGCGGGTGAGAGCGCTGCCCCCCAGCCTCGCGCTTTCCCGTCCCCGCCGCAAGGAAGCGGGGTGGCTGTACACCTCACGTGCTTTCCGGGCGCCTCCTCCGCCAGCCTCATCCCCCTGGGCGACCCCCGCCCCTTCCCCGGGCGCGGGCCGCGGCTGGGCCGTCGCCCTCTGCTCCACTTCTCTCTCCCCTCGCTGTAGATTCTGGGAACCAATCCGGTCCCCACCCTGTGGCGCCCCACCCCCACTCTTCCCTGCCACCGCTGCCTTTACCAGGTTCCAGACCCCCTTCCTCCAAGATTTTTAGGGATCACCCACTGGTTCCCCCCAACTTTGGTCCCCGTCACCTGCAGAATCTTCATTGTGGTGCCTTTCCCGGGCCCCTTACCTCCTCCCGGACCTCCTTCTTCTCTTGCCCTTACTTGTATCTTCTTCCTCCCCCTCCTCTTTCTCAGGGCCTCGAATTTTGATTTTGCAACTCTCTTGACAGCCTCCCCCTCATCACCCTTTCTTCTTCTCAACCACCCCTCAATTGCATCTCTTCCCTGGTCGGAATTCCAGCCTCCCATCTCTAGCCCACACCTCTCACCGTCGCCCGTACCCCGGTGTTCAGCTCTCCCTATCCCTTCTCTCGGGTTTCAAGTGCAGCAGTCCAGAACCAGGCATTTCCGGTCTCAGAGCCCCAGAATATTACATTACCGACTCTGCAGCAGCGTGGGGCTGGAAGGAGACAAGAGCACTGGGGGAGGAGGGCAGGTATTTATTTTCTTCAGAAACTAGCCTGGTCTGGGAAGGGGATGTTTACATGTATGTACACACACAGAACACATGCTGCATGTGGTCAGTCAGGAGACTGGAAAAGCCGTGGGTGTTTATGTTGGCTGGAGGGAGGAGGAGGTAATGGAGATCTCTCAAGGGAGGGCTAGTTAGAAAAGGGGATAAAAGGAAACAATTGTAGCAGGAATTTCTTCGAAATACCAATTATTGTCCCTTTTTGGGGGCTCGTGGATGCCTCATTTGGGGAGCTTTCAGCATTTTTGTGGTTTTTCTTCAGCACGGAGGCTTAAGGGACGACTGAGTGATTTCAAGGTGAACACACCAGACTGTCACCCAGGTGGTGGTGGTGTCCTGTGTCCTTCGGGCTTTTTCAGCAGGCCAAGGGGTGGGGAGAGCAGGATTTCCCATCTCTGGGTCAGCTTCACTGGAGGCCCCTGTTGAAACTGCCTCTGGCTTTTGAGTTAGCCAGGGAACGTGGTCAGTAGTGGGAAAAGGCAGTCAGCCACACAGGTGCCCCGGATATGACTGGAGGAGAGAGGGGAATTGAAGAGAGCAAAGTCATGTCCTTAATTGGGTCTCTCTAGGTGACACAGTTTTTCTTGCCATTCAGGTCATAATTTGTTTGGTGCAGTGTTAGGCCAGGAGACATGACTTGCTGTAGAGAAAGTGATAAGTTGCTGAGGAGGGAAACTGAGCATTGAATTTCTCCATCTATTGTTGGTGGGTTAAGGGTCTGAAGGCTTTAGGAGGAAGATTCTTATGATCACTTTAAACTGGGTTCTCATGGTAAGCCAGTTGGGACATGATAATGGAAACCCAGGCTCCCCTTAATGTACTCTGCTCTGCAATCACTGTCTTCCCTTACCACGTTGGTTATTGATTAACTCTGGCTATAGGTTTCTGTGGTTGTGGTGACTGCAGTACAATTAAAAATGGGAGGGTCCAAACCATGACCTTTGGCTTAAGCAGTGTAGGACCTGCTTGGGCTTCTCTTTTCCTTTAGACTCTTCTGGTAGTTTGGCCTGGCCCCTCAACCTAGGATTTCCAGCAATTCTGCACCTCGGATGTGGTATTTCCTTTTTGGATTTCTCTGCTTAAAGCCTTCCTCAATTGCCACTTTCCTTATTCTCCTCTCCCTTCCCTCAAGGAAAGCCTGCTGACCTGCTCCCAGGGGTTCTGTCTTTCCTGCCTCCTGCTTCTTGAGAAAGCGCTGCCCTTCCCCCACTGCCACCCCAGGATGCCAGGGGAGGAAGAGCTGTGCTTTCTTTTAAAGGGGCTAGAGACGGTTTGCTTTCTCCTTGCTGCTGACCTTTTCTCAGCCTGTCCCTTCTGCTGCACCTCAGAGGGCTGCTGTGGCACTATGGAGCAGCTAGCTCAGTCATCCCTTGTTCTGTTTCTGCCTGGTTTCCAGTGAGAAGTGTTAACCAGGAGACTTTGCAGCAGAGCATGTTTCCCTTTCTACATCATCTTCTAGTAGAGGGGGCCTAGGGAAGGGAATGGGAGAGGAACATAGTCAGCATTCATTAACTTGTTTTGAAGAGCCCAAGTCATCCTTCTTTTGTTTCAAGAAAAGGCTTGGTTTTCAGCTGGTGATGAGAGTAATAGTCTGGATTAGGAAGATTGAGTTGCACTAATTTCTTAGCCATGTATGTGTGGGGAGGCCTGATGGACCTGCCACTTTGTGACCACAGGCACACTTGATCTCTTTGAGGCTACATTTCTCTACTGCACAGTAGCATACTAGTAGTAGTAGCTGTATTCCTGAGTGTGAGTGCTGGCTTTCTCACTGTGTAGCCGTGGCCTTGCTCCCCTGTCTCCCCTTACTAAAGGTTCTGCAAAGAGCCTTTCCTCTCTAAAGCACCATTTTTTCATCTGTACAGTGGGATTGGTAATAGTACTGAACTCAAAGCTGCTTAGAATTAAATGAAATACTGCATGTTAAGTACTTAGTCCAGTTCCTGGCACATAGTGACCGTATGGTAGCCCTTATTGTTATTATTGTTATCAGATGGCAATCAGAGAAGGCTTCTAGCACAACAGTATCTAAAATAGCACTCTCTACCCTGCTTTATTTTTATATAAATTTTTATATAGATTCCCTTAGTCTGCTTTATTTTGCTTCATTAGTATTTATCACCAGCTGACAAGAACAGCTGACAACATGGGGATTAGGCGAACTGACCCCCCTGCATAGTCCAAAATTTGTGTGTAATTTTTGGCTCCCCAAAAACTTAACTACTAAATGCCTATTATTGAGCAGCAGCCTTACCAATAACATAGTCAATCCACACATATTTTGTATGTCATATGTATTATATACTGTATTCTTAAAGTAAGCTAGAAAAAAAAGGTGTTTTCAAATTGTCACAAATCCCCCCAAATTTTCCAGTATGTCTATTGAAAAAAATCTATGTGTAAGTGAATCTGTGCATTTCAAAACTGTTGTTCAAGGGTCAACTGTATATTTTTATCAACCCTGACTAAAACGTAAGTTCTGTGGAAGCTAGGATTTTGACTCTTTTGTTCATTTTTGCTTCACCAGTGCCTGCCTGTCACAGTGTTTTGCACAGAGTGGGGACCCAAATGTTTGTCATGATAGCAAGTGAACAGTTTTGGCACAATGCTTGCTTGGAGAGAAAACAATAAATGTCATACTTGTTAGGCTTCCTTATGCCCCTCTTTTATATTCACACAATTAAGTATATTTCTTTTCTGAGTTGTTTTTGGAATCAGACCTTGGTGGTAAACAGAGTTCTGGAAGCTTCCATCTGAGCAGTGCCCTTAAAGTAAAGTTAGGATCATCCAAGAGAAAATACAGACCTCTTAGTTCAAGCTTTCCCTGTGTCCAAGCTTGGTTATATTCCAAAAGAATCTTCTGACTTGGAGCTCTTGGCTTCCCACAAAGGATAAGTATCAGTAGAAGTGGATGGGACAAGGAGGGAGCAGACCCCAGGCTGACCTGTTTCCTTTGTATTATAGCTCCTTTTGGTTGACCCACTTCATAAATCAAACAGCTTCTCTTTACTGCCCAACCCTCTGGAAGTTTTAGACCGCAGTGTCCTTGAAACTACCGAGCTGTGCTCAGTATGGCTGTATTGAAATAATATCGTGGAGCTAGGTCAAGAGGGACTTGTTGCTAGGTAGTAGTGCTGACAGAGATATTCTTTTTTAAATGATTTTGTGTTGTTGTGTCCATTCTTTGGAGAAGTCTTCCCTTTCCTTCCCTTCTCATGAGGCTGTAGAGCCAGCACTTGGAAAGTTGGCAGTTCTAGGCCTGCGTTTCTAGGCTGCTGAACAATTTGGGACTGCTACTGTGTTCTGATGTGCTCCCTGTCCAAATGTTGATGACAGATGCCTCAGGCAGGGGAATGGAAAGCTGACCTCCCACAGTAGAAATAATGGCATTGAGTAGTGACTTTTTCCTAGAGAACTGCGGATGAGGGTAGGGCTGTTTGGGGAGCTAGGAGCATTTGGAGTGAAGTGAAATGCTGCTTTGGAAAAATGATGGAAGGAAGATTACAGAGAACTTTGCTGAAATGAGGTGTTAACTCTTCCCCTAATGAAATGAGGTGTTAACTCTTCCTCTGGAGGCAGGCAGGGCCCTAGAGAAACCACCAGCCTTTATGCTGTGGGATAGGATAGATTGCCCTAGTCCTTAGTGATACATGGAAAGGAAAGTCTTTGGAAAAGTGAGGTTTTGACGGTGAGAGGGGTCAGCAAGAGAGCCAGCTGGTCTACCCCCTCACACTTGCCCCAAGAACTCATTTAACACTATGCTATATAGCATCCTAATTTTAAGTCTGGTCTCCATCCCTTTCAACTTTAAACTGTGTGCCTATGACAGAGTCACTCAAACAGTTTGGATATGTAAAGTGTCCTCACTTGTCGTCTTGGGGACAGGATGGCAAGAAGTATGCAACTGCTCTTTACAAGCTTGCACTCTGGCATAGGTCTATAAATAAGGGATGCTCTAAGCTCTCAACTCAGAAACATAAAACAATTTTAGGACTGGAGAGCATCTCCAGAAACCTTCCAAGAGTTGGCCTGACTGATCTGTCTGCCTCAGACAAAGTTGTGCCAGAGAAAGTCATCAGTGATAGCCTTTCCTCACACCAGATGTTGTCTGTCTGTTGTTTTAAGAATCAGGTTCTGGATACTATGGGAAGGATTTAATACTGTGATCAGAACTATACTAACCTATTTTGTCAGAATTCTGGGTGCATCCACCTAAGAAATGCCTTTGCAAGCTCAGGCTCCCCTATTCTCAACTGTTACTGCTTTCCTCAATATCAGGGTTGGGAAGTTTTTGTTAAATCTGATTCCCATGAGTTATACTCATTTTCTGTTGTCCCATGGTCAGTCATCTTGAAATCTGATATCCAGTCTTTTCCTTTCCCCAAG